GAGAAGAGTACAATATAATTTTTAAGTTAAAAAAATATTTCTTAAGTGGTTGTATTAAAAACAAAAAAGAAGGAAATATAAAACAACATATAATGGATTAGTAAAGAGCATATTTAATTAACTCATCTGCTAGATTTTTTTTTTGAAAAATAAAAGGAAAAAACAACTAATACTATTAGTTGCCCAGCCGCCATTAAATTCCAAAAAGCTTCTTTAGACTCCGTTTGATAATCATTGAAGTCTGAATATGAACACTTAACACTTAACACTAAAGTCTGAAGTCTAAAGATTGAATTTATATTGTTTGATAAAAAAACGTATGAATTTGATGTCTGAAGACTGAAAACTGAATCTCAATACTCAGGTCTGAAAGTTATTTAAAATTTTAATATCATTAAAATTAAATTATAAACAAAATTCTTTTTAAATAGAAAAATAACTAATATTTTGTTTTAAATAATAGAATCATAATTTTAAAATAAGTTTTTGGTATATATAATGAAAGTAGATATTACAGTTGGTAAATAATCAATATATATATATATTAAAATTGGATGATCCCGGTAAGAATCGAACCCTCAACCTCCCGATAATAACCATCCCCATCCCAATCCCCTAACCACACCACTCAACCCTCCCACCCCAGATTATTACATATATATGTATACCTTGTTATTTAGAAAATTTAATGTATTAAAATTAGTTTAATTTGAGTTTGAAAGTTTGAGATCTTTTACACTCATAATATAAATTTAACTTTAAGCACTCTTTATTAATTCATCTAAAGAAAATAAAAATTTTAAAACAATGTAAAAATAAGCGTCGAAATAAAGACGAAGGAAAAAAAAGAAAAAAAGAAAAAAAAGAGTCACTACAGAAATTAAGTGATAAGTGATAAATAGTAGGCCTACCACTTATTTTATGGCTCACAATTGAACTGTGCATTCAGACACACTTAATTAATTCAGACAGTGAAATTTTAGTTATCAAACGCACTTAATTTATAAATACTTAATTAGTTTAGAACTTAATTCATTAAAACTTTTTAGTAGTGATTATCAAACACACTCAATTTTATTAGGTACTTAAATAAATTAAGTCATTATATTAATTGATTATCAAACGTACTTTATAAATACTTAATTAGTTCAGAACTTAATTCATTAAGACTTTTTAGTAGCGATTATGAAACATACTTAATTTCATTAAATACTTAAATAAATTAATTCACTATATTAAGTAATTAATCTCGTATTGTGTCTATCTTTTCGAATCTACTACAATATTTTATACTGGACGTTATCGTTCAACAAACCCACATCCAAGCAATAATTCAATATTATTCATACATTAAAGCCTATGATTTTGGATTAAAGAAAGTCGGGCGAAACTTTATTTGTGCGCAGATAATTATTTAAGGGAATTATTTTTTTTTTGTATTGAAAAATAAAAAATCCACGGTAAATCAAACAAATGTGGTCATATAGAAACATCTAGCGCAAAACCAGGTGAGCGTTGCGAGTTTGCGGGAGAAAGCTATCATCGGGCATCATCTATTGTAACGAACTCACAATTGCAATGTCATGGCCGACTCCAAGCACCGTGGTTAAGTTGCCAATGTGCCGTGGTAACTAATACACATGTAAAATTCAGAAAGTGACGAGTATTTGTTTTTTTAGCATTAGGATGAAAACTTAATTCCACAATACATTTTAAGTTGCTAATCTATCGTGATAATCGGTATGTATGTGAAATTCAGAAAATGACAAGTATATATCTCTCTAATATTTTATTTGATCACTCTATCGTAACCCGGAGAATGAACACTTTATTCTACAATATATAACTATGAAAATAATTGTAAACGGTGTAAAATAAAAGTGATGGAAAAGTCTCGATGTCTTTTAATAATCTATCTTATTGCAAGGATTTTTTATTTTTTAATTTATGTTGGTTCATACTCTCCCAGAGCTTTAATTTTAACATACAACAATACTATTTTTCTAGAACAATATTCTTCTGGTAAAATTAGAAGCAAAACAGTTGTATAATTTTAGTTTAATATAGAATAAGAATTTTTATTTTGGAAGAACGGAAGAAATATAAAAATATTTTTAGCTTAAAAATGAAATACATAAGTTTCACTCATCACTTTCACCTCATGCAACCTGATAAACTCAAGTTTCAGAATCATGAATTATCCCTCCATCCACATGACTCATATGAAGTCATTTCATTATGTCATGATCGACGTTTGCGAAACCGTAACTCTTATAGTGAAGTTTATCTAATCCCGACAACTTGCGATCAGCTAAGACATTTACAGAACGATTTTTTTTTTTTAAAAAAGACAAAAGTAATTGTAAATTAAAAGAATAAAAATTAAAAACCTTATTTCATATTCGGATATTCCTACCTTTCGATAAAATATAGTGGAGGGTATATAAAAAAAAAATTAGTGGAGGATCTATGCATCATATTCTTTTTGGCGCAAATGTGAAATTTGAAAGTCTGGACAGCCATCCACAAAAAAAGGAGACTATGAGTCGATGGCAAGTTCTCCATCGAGTTTTTCATCTTTCAATCTATGAATTTTATCACGCATTTAAGCAAATATGTGTTCAAGTGATTTTAATCTGTATGATTTATTATTAGTTTTTAGTTATTGAGTGTTTAATGTGTATGTTACTTTTTAGTAACACGATTATACAATGTTACTGTGAAATAAAGTAGGTGTTTTAATATTCTTATTATTACCACGGTACAAAATTAAGTGGCAACTTGCAAAACACAAGTCAAAGGTAGAACAGTACAGCGTAATTCATTAAATCTGTCACCAGAAAAATAAAAAATAAAATCATTAAATCCAATATTAGGGCTCAGGATCTTATCTGGAAATTTTCCTCCCTACCGATCAAGCTAGAAAGTGGGCTACATTGATTCTGTCTCAGTGGATATTTTTTATATATCAACTGAACATAAATCATTCCCTTGAGGGACTTGCAAAGGGGGGAAAAAATACTCTCTCTGTCTTATACTCCCTCCGTCCCATAATTATTGTCCAGTTTTACTAAAATGAAAGATTTTATTTTTGGTCAAACTTAAATATTTTTTTACCTTAAACAACCGGATATACCCCTACATAAGTAATTGTTTAACCACTAAGATTTCATGAATAATGTTTTTTTACTAAGGACAAATGTGTAACTTGATCCATAAAAAGTCAAATTGGACAATAATTTTGGGACAAAATTTTTTAGGCAAAGTGGACAATAATTATGGGACGGAGGGAGTAATTATTATCCAGTTTATATTTTTATTTTTAGTTTAAATTATACTAAAAGTAAAATTTCAAATTGGACAATAATTTTGAGACAGAAAGAGTAATAATTAACGGACAGAAGTAATTACTTTACGCTTAAGGTGTTCCCATCTCATTTTTTGCAATGCAATTGTAATATCTTCTTACAATATCTTTTTTTTTTAAAAAAAAATTATACCTTATATCCTCAAGTAATATATTAAAATCGCGAATGTGAACTAATTGTGTAAATTATATATTATGATATTACATAGTACTACTACAATATTAAAGTGTTATGTGTAGCAAGATCTCGATTGTAAATTTTCTCATATAAAAAACTTAATTGAATTTCAGCACTATATAAGTATATATAAGCGAACAGTAGTAATTAGTGTAAGCGACAAGGGTTCATGTTGGGAAGAAGGAATCAAAGCTTCAGGGAACTTATCTAGATTTAGGATTAATAAAAAATTATTGCTACTTCATTATGATTGACTTTATAATTGTATAAAAATGATGATCCTTATTGGCCCCAGCTATCTTGGGATATATATTGAAGGGTTCAATAGTTTTTTGTTGTTGCCATGTTATCTGCAAGGTTTAAAATTAATGGTCTGTATACATTTGACATTTTATTAATGTTGAAAATTTATTTATATATTTGTATATAAATAAATCGCATTGCCCCTTCATTAAAATGCCATTTATCTTGATCAGTTTAGCTTTTTTTTTTTTTGTTGGCTATTTTCTTTGACATTACAAACTCTATGTACAAAGTTGTCACGTATATAGAAATGGTAATTGGATATTGCATTCGTGTCTATGAGTGTTTTATTACATTTCCCTCTCATACTTAAAAAGAAGTTTGCGCAAACGACATATTAAAAGGCAAATTTGTTAAATGCAATTGATGCGTTTTTATACTAGTTAGTGGCTATTTTTAGTTGTCTAAAAAAATAATTTATATCGGGTATAGTATATATGAATATCAAAATTTATGTGAATTATTTTTTTGAAACAGATGTAATATCATTGATGATTCTTAAGGTACTTTTATTGTTCATTACTCGGATGACATCCGTCAGAAATATACATTTGAAGAAAAAAAAGAGTAAAAAACCATCAAATTGTTTATCTGATTTCCCATAATGTAATTGATTTATGGATTAATGTATTCTCTTGGGCAAGTCATTAACATACATAAAAAAGAAACTATGAAAACAACAACACAAGAAAATGATAGTAGAAAACAACATTGAACAATTACGAGGAACACGATGAGTAGTTATCGATGCAAATGACAATCTACCAAAGATGTGTGGAAAAAGATATGAGAAAATGAAGACAGGGGTAATATGGGAATAAGAGCCGGAAAGAAGGGGTAATTATTTAATGAAAAATTTATTCAGTAAAAAAAATCCTTGTAAGAAGTGATGATGATAAGGGGAGAAACGCAGACGCGATTCACAAACCAAACCAGGGTTAATTCCTAACAAACTAACCGCGGTTAAACCGCTGAAGCAAAGTCTCTGAGCTCACATCAAAAAATCGTCAACATGTTGTACCTCCTGCAAGAATACTTGTACATCTGACATGGCAATTCAGCAAAAATAAAAATAAAAATAAAAAATCGACCTTTTCTTAAATCGGATTTATCATTATCCATATCTCTCTCACTAAAACACTTTCTCACTCTAGAAAAAAAATTAAAATAAAATAATAAAAAAAAAAACAAGCAAACAGGTGCAGTGCTCCTCATATAATCTTCCCTTCCTTTTCCCCCATTCTGGCTTCTCATCTCTCTACATTTTTATAAAAATTTATTCTTCCTTCTAAACGCCGAGAGCTTCTTTTTATTTATTTATTTTTATTTCACAAGTCTCCGTTACTCTGTCTCTCTGCCGCGGCAACCTTCTCCGGCGGTGGATGGACTTGGCAGAATTGTTCTGGAGTTTCACCGATTGATAATTAGGTTCAGTTCACACCTTCACTGAATTTGATCCGTTTTTTTCCTCCATTTTTATGGATGTTTATTCATTTCTGTGCGCATAGTTGTTTTATTTGTGTGTTTATGTGGTTGGATGTCGTACTGTGTCACTGTTGGTCTGTGTTTTCAAGAAACTGCGGTGGGTGGAGATAAGAGAATTGCATGCAGACTCAAAATTGAAGCTTTTGTTCGGTGAATTTGGTGAATTTTTGCGATTTGCTTCTTCTTTTTATGTGTGTCACTGTCACCGTCAGTGCTTCAATGACTCTGTGGCCTGGAGGAAAGTATGTGTTTTCCTTCGTTTTTGTGCTTCAGTGGTGGAAAATTTATTGATTTCGATTTTGTGTTTGCAGGGAATTCAGTATTGACAAGTCGCTAGCAGCTGGATGATTAGATTGTAATTAAGGATTAGGGTGAGAAACTTTGAGAGAGAAAGCTTCAAACTTTTTTGCTTTCATATGAGATCATGATTATTTTCATATTCATTTCCTTTGTTGTTGAATTACTGGCTTATTGTCTGCTTGTTTTAGGTTTTCGGTGTGTCTGTTTCTGTGTTTCTGGAATGTGTTTTCTGGTAGAAGTGTTTTCAGCAAATTTCTAAAAGGAAAACTCTGTTTGCATGATGCGTTGGTAGCAGTAGACACTTGCAGTTGGGATGTGAGGGAAGGAAGCGATAAACATCATTTCGTTCTATGTGGGTTGTTTTCTTCTGCACAAAGCTTCGTTTGAACAAAGAGAGATTGCATGAATATACCCGTTAATGTATGTGTTTGTGTGTGTATTTCTTGTTTTGTTTTGTTGAAGCATGAGCAGAATTGCGAAGATCAGTGTACAGATCGATAATGAAGAGTTCAGTTGCAGAAATCCCTTGGTCAGTTATGGAAAATTGTAACCAGTAACTTGTGATTATGTGGAAATTATGTGTTGAAGAATGACGTATGCTCAACGTATAGATTGTGAAGGAGGGAACTTAAATTTTTGAAACCCTTTGTATTGTCTTCTAATATGCTACTGTCACGTTTCCTATGTTGCTTATTGGCGAATGATTATGGATTCTTCAGATTGGATGATGTACTGGCATTTTGTCGCTTTTGCAACCGCGTGATATGTATTGGCATTTTGTCGCTTTTGCGACCACGTGATTTATTTGCTGTACCTGTAATTGAATGATCTGGCTCCAGAAACAACAAGCTTAACCAGCGCCGATATTTGTCCCTTAATATGTTTTACGTAATGAAATGAGTCAGGAGTCTTACGTTACCTATGACTTTAAACGTGCGGAGGAAACAATTATCTTTCATAGGGCAAGCTTGATTTTGTCGCCTTGCAAACACATGTGACGTTCTAGAAATGACAAACTTATAATAGTGACAAGGTTTTTTAGATGTTATATAGTAAGAAGTTTATTGGAAAGTCGATATCCTGTGATCTTGATTGGTGCAGATCTCCTATTGTATTAGACGTATCGATTAAATAATAATTTATTTAGTTTAAAGTTTTACTTTTGTGACGTTGCTACTGCCGGGACCTTTTTATGATGTTATTATTAATTCCTGCAGATATTAATTTAAGTGATTCAGCTTCCCAAGGACGTGGCTGATTCTGGTTGGGCTGTTTTGGTACTTGGCATTACCGCAAGACTCTTGCAATAGTGGTGCAAATTCTTGATTAGGTAAACATTTTTTCCTCATTAAAATTGCTTTGTCTCGTGTTTATTGTTTTCTAAAGGTCCTCGGGTGTTATTGTAAAACAACCTTAGGATGTTTCTGAAAGCATCCTAAGGTGATTTGGCGCTAGCTTTTAATGTCTGTTTTACTTCTCTCAGAATACTAGTTATGCCTTTTGCATAGTTCCTTTTATTCAGCAGTCAAGATGTTTGAGATATATCTCCAATGGATTGAATTTTTTTACACCCAATTGCTTTTCTTATGATGAACATAGTTAAAAAAGATGATGAAATTGTTGTACTTTTAGCTGAGTTGAAAAGATTAGAACCTGCCGTGTTAGCTGAAGGCATTTGTTTTTTCATGAGAGTTACATTCTTAATTGTACGTGGTTAGTGTGATAATGGTGACTAATTGGACGCTCCGCAAGCTGGTCTCCATGTAAGAGTTACTCTTTTTCCTTTTTCATTTGTGAGTTTGTGTAAGTTCACATGTCTGGTCGTGTCACGGCAATGGAAGAAACAAGGATTTGCATTTGCTTGTTTATTTTTATTTTAATGCAGAAAGACTGTCTTTTTAGCGACCTTAAAGAAGCCTTTTTTAGCTTCTGAGGGACGAGGGAAAGCACACATTTTCTTGTCTGTTAGAATGTGTTCAATCTCGTGCTTCTGCCACACATCCTCCTGAGATAACACCTGCCATGCTAATGCTACCTAATCCTATGTTAGAGCCTTCTAAATCAATCATCGTTTCTTGTCAGAAAAGTGAATGTTTAGCCAAGAAAGTGTTTGCTTGAAGCCTATCTGAAGGTGGTTCCTTAACAGTTAATAAAATCTAGAGGCTGATGAATTTCTTTTGAGTGGTCTGTTATCACATGTTGATGCTACTGTGGTAAAAAGACTTTTGATTCACTTCATCGTGGTCAGACTAGGATTTCTACGGGGCTTCTGCTTGCTGGAGGTTGGGACTTCGTTGTTTGCTGTCTTGAGCTAATTGAGATCAAGGTTTGTACTTGGTTAATGTAGCCTGCTTCCACATTTGTAGTTGTATAACTATCCCATGGTCTGCATCTGTATACTCGTCTAAGTGTGTCTGGCTGTCTCTGGTTTGGTATTCCTGTACTTGTGGATGTTTACGTTGGAAAAGGTTATATTGTAGTGTAGATATACACTTGTTCTTTCTTTAGCCAGTAATGTTCCAAAAAATTGTAGCTTGATCTTGGGTTTGAAGGGACTGATGGGGAGTGTCCGTGGTATCTTTAATTTTCCCTCCGAAGTAGATCCAGCGTACTTTGTCACTCATTCATGGCATTACTTTCATCATTTTGTAGCCACAATTCAATACAAGAAATTACCAAAGAAATGCAACTTAGTATGAGCTTCATGGTTAAACTAATTCATTTTATTTCTCTGCTTATGCCCTTGCTTTGTAATTGAGGATTAAGTTTTTAATTGGAAAAGAAGCAGAAAATAGGTCTCTTCGTGGAGAGAGGGAGTAAAAATTTATGCATGTAACAGGTGCATGGTTTACAATTTCAGTCCCGGACAATTTTGCGACATGGTTTTGTTAGATCGTATAGCACTAATCTGTTTTAAGATGTAAAAATGTTACAGCAAAATTCTGACTTTTTTTTTTTTTTTTTTGGTGTAAGCCCAGGCTCGTGTCTGCTCTATTTAGTTGACCTCCGGCTGTGATTGACCATTAATTTGTGTGTATATGATTCATTGAAAAGCAATTCTTTTCAAGTTCATGGCATCAAGATCATTTTTGAGCTATTCAGATCTGACGCTAGGAGAATTAACAGACGTCCCTCAAACTCCCAGATCTCTTCCAAGACTAATGGCTGTCCCTGGAATACTCTCTGATAGTTATGGTGGCAACGATGGAGATTCAGACAGCTCATCTGCTTCTCGTGAGAGAAAAATCATAGTAATGAATATGCTGCCTTTGAATGCACGCAAGGACAACCAGACTGGAAAATGGCGCTTTAGCTTTGACGAGGATTCTATTTATCTGCAGTTGAAAGATGGGTTCTCACCTGATGCGGAGGTTATATATGTTGGGTCCCTGAAGGTTGAAGTTGAGCCCAGCGATCAGGAAGAAGTGGCACAGATACTGCTGGAGGATTTCAAGTGTGTGCCGACGTTTTTACCACCAGATACTCAGAGAAAGTTTTATCATGGTTTTTGTAAGCAACAGCTCTGGCCTCTTTTTCACTACATGCTTCCCATATGCCCAGATCGGGGGGATCGCTTTGACCGCCAGCTTTGGCAGGCCTATGTGTCAGCAAATAAGTTATTTGCTGACAAGCTTATGGAAGTTGTTAATCCTGATGAGGATTATGTTTGGATCCATGATTATCACCTCATGATCCTACCAACATTTATGAGGAAGCGGTTCAATAGGGTGAAGCTTGGATTTTTCCTCCACAGCCCTTTTCCTTCCTCAGAAATATATCGAACCCTAACTGTCAGGGAACAAATTTTGAAAGGATTGCTGAACTGTGATTTGATTGGTTTTCATACATTTGATTATGCTCGTCATTTTCTCTCATGCTGTAGTAGAATGCTGGGCTTGGACTATGCATCTAAACGAGGGCATATTGGGCTTGATTACTTTGGTCGCACTGTCTACATCAAAATTTTGCCTGTTGGTATTCATCTGGGCAGACTTGAATCTGTTTTAAATCTTCCTTCTACTTTTGATAAGGTGAAGGAGATTCGAGAACGTTTCGAAGGGAAAAAAGTAATTCTTGGTGTTGATGATATGGACATTTTCAAAGGCATTAGTCTGAAACTACTAGCCTTTGAAGTGCTGCTGGAACAGCACCCACAAATGCATGGGAAATTGGTACTAGTTCAGATAGTTAATCCTGCAAGGAGCTCTGGAAAGGATGTTCAAGAAGCTATGAGTGAGACTTACTCGACTGCCCGTCGGATCAATGAAGTTTATGGTTCCCCTGATTATGAACCCGTTGTCTTGATTGATCGTCACGTTGCTCGTTATGAGAAAAGTGCCTATTATGCCATGGCTGAATGCTGTATAGTTAATGCTGTGAGAGATGGAATGAACTTGGTTCCCTACAAGTATGTAATTTGCAGGCAAGGCTCCCCCTCATTGGATGAAGCAATTGGTGGCGGAAAGGGATCCCCTCGGACTAGCATGCTTGTTGTGTCTGAGTTCATAGGCTGTTCACCATCTCTTAGTGGTGCAATTAGGGTGAATCCCTGGGATATTGAAGCCGTGGCTGAGGCTTTAAACACCGCAATCTCGATGCCGGACACAGAGAAACAGCTCCGACATGAGAAACACTATCGTTATGTGAGCTCTCATGATGTTGCTTATTGGGCTCGAAGCTTCTTGCAGGATTTAGAGAGGGCATGTCAGGACCATTATAGTAAGCGGTGCTGGGGAATTGGCCTGGGCCTTGGTTTTAGAGTTATTGCACTTTCTCCAAGTTTTAGAAAACTAAAGATTGATCACATTGCTGCATCTTATAAGGAGACCAGTAGGCGAGCAATATTCTTAGACTATGATGGTACTGTTGTTCCTCAATCCTCTATGATTGCAGCTCCAAATCCTGATGTTGTTGCAATAATAGATGCTCTTAGTAGTGATCCTAAGAATACGGTCTTCATTGTTAGTGGCCGTGGGAGGACCTCCTTAGGCGAATGGCTTGCACCCTGTGAGAGTCTAGGGATAGCTGCCGAACATGGTTATTTCCTACGGTTAGTTGTTATTTTTTTGTCGCTGCTGTTTGCAAAAGATCATTCATATGAGTTATATGATTTAACTCAAACAATGGCATGTGTTGCTCTTCTTCATTGCAGGTGGAACAAAACTTCGGAGTGGGAATCTTTGGCATCTGATCTGGACTGGAAAGCAATTGTGGAACCAATTATGAGACATTATACAGAGGCAACTGATGGTTCCTACATAGAAATGAAAGAGAGTGCACTAGTGTGGCATCATCAGGGAGCTGGTCCTGATTTCGGCTCATGCCAGGCCAAGGAGTTGTTGGATCATCTGGAAAATGTCCTTGCTAATGAACCCGTAGTTGTGAAGAGAGGCCAACATATTGTCGAAGTCAAGCCACAAGTATGGTGATTCATAAGAAACCAATATTCCCTCGTTGTGCACAATGGCAATATGCCCCACACTACCACCTTCCTTTCTCCCATTTCTGTTTATATTTATGCATGTCAACTGATTTACTCTTGTTATGTAGGGAGTGACAAAGGGCTTAGTTGCTGAGAAGGTTCTCAACATGATGGTCAATAAGGGCAAGCCACCAGACTTCGTTTTGTGCATTGGAGATGATAGATCTGATGAAGATATGTTTGAGAGCATATTGAGCACAGTTTCAGGTTCAGCCCTCCCTTCAGCTCCTAATATCTTCGCTTGCACTGTTGGGCAAAAGCCAAGCAAAGCCAAATATTACCTAGATGATACGGTTGATGTCTTGAGATTGCTCAAAGGCCTATCGACAGTTTCATCTCCAAAACCTAGGAATACTGCAGAATTTCAGGTTGCTTTTGACAGTGATATCTGATACCAAACAACAGTAGTTTCTTGTCCTTGTTGTGTGTGTGACTGGTGGTGATGACTAGTTTCCTAGCGACAGAAACTGTCATTTGGGCAAGATTTCACCTAGAATAGTTCTGTGAGATTTTATATAGGTGCTGCCTTAGGTGGTCATATTGGCAGCAATGATTTGTACAGAAACTTGCCTTTCTTATATGAAAAACATTTAGTTCAGTTCACTTCTGATTGATCGTTTTTTCAATTCATTTGATTCACGACCATCGCAATCTACTGCAAATGTTGTGAACTATATGGGGTGGTGCTGTGGCTGAGAGTTCTCCATAGCCATCATCAGTCTCTTGTCTCCAGCTGAATGAAATTACGTGGGGGCCAAATTGTGACGAGGAAGTTGAAAGATAAGAATTGATCACGGGTTCCACCACATGCTTCCTGAACAGCCCACATTTCCATAATCGTAATACAAGTCACATCAGCAAAAGTGGAAGAAAAAGCTCCCAATAATGACATGCCCTGTAGCGTTGCGAGTCATGGAAATCATCCTTTTGGAAGTTTAAAACAGTAGTAGAAGGTTAGAATAAATCGTCAATGCAAAGCGTCGAGATTACTTATCAGATTTTGACGCACACATTTATGTTTGATCTCGATTGTTAGGGACGGGGCTGATCAAAACGAAAAAACAGATCCGAATGGATGATTCTCCAGATAGTTCGAAAACAAAAGCAGAGTGTTTGTGCCAATCAGAAAAGAAAAGCGAAAAAAAAATTGTATAGGTAACAAGAACACCTACTGAGAAAAAGACAATTGTTCTTGACAAGCTTCCAGAAATGAAAGCATGTCCCTCATAAGTAATCCAGCAGAAGCAAACATAATATTGCAAATGATTAAATCCATTTCAACCAGAGAACTCATTGAAATGGCGAAAAAGTATTTAGATTTATGTTGGTTACCCATCTGAATAGCCATCATTCATCTCAGATTCCTGATCATCGAACCAGTTCTAAGGCGGGTCGTAAATGATCAAGCCAAGGAAAAGCTCTAAGAAGTCATCTTTTTAACTTCTTTTCCCCCCTCAATTCTGGATAATGGAAGAAGCCGTAAGCCAACATAATTGAGTATTAGTGGGTTGATCTGATTGATGGGATCGAATTCTCAACAGATTCTGGGCCAATCACACCTTCATTAAAACAAGTGAAGTTAACAGATTGCTGTTGGACTTGGGCCCATTTGAGTATTAATCATTCCTCGATAGTGGCCCAGGTGTCCTTTTCATCCTCACAAGTGCATACGCATTCTATGTAATTGAGATTTTTTTTTCTCCTTAACCTCAAATTAGTTGGAAAAATAATCAAGTCCTATTTTGTATTCGCATTTTACCTGACTGATAGAATACGAGTTTATGTGTTCATAAATGAAAAAAATGCGAGTTTATGAATGATATACTGATAAAATCAAATGGCAAAAAGAAAAAAAAAATGTTTTGGCCATAGTAGTGACTAGTGAGTGAAATAGATTGAAAAATAGTACCACTAACAAAAACAGCTTGATACACAATAGAAAGAATGAAACAGGTCCTGTCCAAAGTCATTTATATGGTTTTTTTTTTTTCTCAATAATATCTCCACGCCAGATTTATTCAATGCCAGCTGAGGAGAAACGCCATTCAAGAAATCCCTATTTTTGCTGTAACAACTTTCTGAATTTCACAAAATTTCTTATGGAATCAAGAACCGCCTCATATCTTAATTTAGTACTCCCTTCGTCCCATAATTATTGTCCAGTTTTACTAAAATGAAAGATTTTATTTTTGGTCAAATTTACTATATTTTACCTTACACAACCGGATTTATCCCTACATAAGTAATTATTTAAGCATTATGATTTTATGGATAATATTTTTTACTAAAGACAAATGTGTAACTTGATCCATAAAAAGTCAAATTAGACAATAATTTTGGGACAAAACTTTTTGGGCAAAGTGAACAATAATTATGGGACGGAGGGAGTACTAAAAAATTTAGTAAAGTTACCAATAGAAATTTGGCCTCTTTAGGAAGCAATCTGGCTTAGGCGCTTAGCAAATGTCCAAAACATTCCTACTTCTAATTGGATTCTCTGATTTTGATATGCTGTTTGTACTAGTCAAGCTCCTCAATTTATTTAGTGAGAACGACCAATTTTTCTAAAATTGAAGCAAATAGCTAAACTAATACATTTTTTTCATTTGTCTGAACTATTTACAACAAACCAATACTCTATTCATTTTTTTTTGAAGCCTACTTTGTTATACCGTTTTAATTTAATAAAATATTACCTCTGTCGAAAAAAAAATTCCAAAACGAGTTATCAAATTTATACTCCCTCCGTCCCATAATTATTGTCCAGTTTGAGTTTTCATTTCTAGTTCAAATTGTACTAAAAATAAAATCTCAAACTGGAAATAATTTTGGGACAGAGGGAATACTATTTTTAGTATAAATTTAAAAATTCAATGTAAACTTATTTTTTATTTTTTGGGACAAAAGTATATATATATATATATTTAAGATGGAAGAGGTAAAAGTTTATTTTATTTTCTTGGTATAAAATTAAAAGTTCTTTTTCCGTTTCAAAGAATATGTATAGAATTTTGAATTCTATAATAAGAAAATTACATCTCGAAAAAAAAAAAAACTTTGGACTAAAAATCGAAACAGCAGTACTGCTGGATTGATTCACCAGATATGCATCATACACAGATGTGATTTCAGAAATTATCTTTGGGCTTTTGATACTTTCTAAGCTCAGCAATATCACTTCAAAAAAAGAAAAATTTCATTATTTTCTTTCTCTCTCACGCACTCACACAGTGACACAAAGCAGATTCACAGCATATGATTCGGTTTTTGGGTTTCACTCCCCAAAACCCACACACAGAGAGACCACACCACTTGCACTGGTGACTGGCCCCCTTCTTCCTCCGCCTTCCCTCGCCTCCCTTCCCTTTTTTCCTCTCCCTTTGTCTCTTTCGTCTTTTTCCAATTCCTCTTTTCTCTCTCTCTCTCTCTCTCAAAAACCCCAACACCTTTTTTTAGAGTTTTTTTTCCCCTTTCTTTTTTCCATGAACAAAAGTGTAAAAATATTCTAAAAAAACCCACTAAAACCACTCCTCCTTTTCTACTTCTACAGTCTATACTACTGCTCCCCTGCTTCTTTCTGCTCTGTTTCCACTGTAACCCATCTTCTTCCCAAACCCGCATTCTGGAATTTTCCGACTCCCAACAATGAGATTCATGGCCGGTAGGAATGTCATACTTGTGATCTTCGCCATTTTGCTTCTTTCCGGTTCTTTTGCTTCTGCTGCTCCAGTTGCTTCTTCCCCAGCAAGTGAGTTTTCTTCACATTTTCTTAGCCCTTTTTTTTGAGCTTTAGATTTCCTTCCATTTATAGGAAGTAATGCCACTGAGATTGTGTTTTTAAGTGAGGTTAGTTTTATCATTCTCGTTTAATGGTTATTTTATCTTTTTGGGCAGGATTATTGAATGGGTTTTTCTCGAATGCAATTTCGATGCTGATGAAATGGGTGAAGTCACTCAAAGCTACTACTAAAACGGGTACGGTCAGATCTCGTTAGATTCTCTGCTGCAAAACCCACATTGGATTATTTGCCTGAAATTGTTGCTTTTCTTCTTTTTTTTTTTTTTTTTGAGAGGCTAATAATAATGGCAGGGTTTATTGTTGGTTTGATTTGGTTTGGTGGGGGGACTTATTTTGAATTATGGTGTTGCAGCGATAGCTGGGCGCCCGATGATGAAATTTGAGAGTGGATACTCGGTGGAAACTGTATTTGATGGAAGTAAGCTTGGAATTGAACCTCATTCTGTGGAGTTATTGCCCAACGGAGAACTTCTTATACTGGATTCTGCTAATAGCAATCTTTACAGGATCTCTTCCTCATTGTCTCTGTGTAAGTTTTGTTGGTATCTTTCCTTTTCTGGCTTCCTTTTTGAAGGTCTAATCGCGACTGGTTTTATTCTGATTTGTTTAACTTCTGTTTACTTTACACTTATATGATCACTAAATAGATTCACTTATCGATTGTGAAGAAGACATTTGTCGTAATATAAAGAATGTTAGGTAAAGTGCTGTACGAAAAAGTGACATAAGGAATCCAATCATTCATGCTGATTAGTCATTGAAGATATTTAACCTTGTCTTTCATGGAGTTATACTTGAATATACTGCTGAAGATATCTTTTGATGCGTTTGAAAATTTTCAGATAGTAGACCAAAGCTTGTAGCTGGATCTGCTGAGGGGTATTCAGGACATATAGATGGGAAGTTAAGGGAAGCTAGGATGAATCATCCCAAGGGGCTCACAGTTGATGACCGTGGAAACATTTACGTTGCTGATACTGACAATATGGCAATCAGGAAGATAAGTGACACAGGTAATCTACCATTTCTTTGAAAGCTTTATGGAAGATATAAAAATTGTTGGAAAGCTTTGTGTATAAAAATCTTGATAGTTTCTGAAATAAAAATGATGGTTTGTGTTTGCGTGACCTGGTTTGAGTATGACATTGGGCAACTCTTTTCGCGATTTCCAACTCTTTGCTTTTGCTATCAAATTCCTTTCGCGATTTCCAACTCTTTTCCCGTCAACATGGAGATCATCGCTTTTGCAGTGAAAATATTGTTTTAGAAGTTCATAACAGTGGCTTTCTTTTTGCAGGAATCACAACGATTGCCGGAGGCAAGAAGAGTCGAGGAGGTGGGCATGTAGATGGACCAAGTGAGGATGCAAAATTCTCAAATGATTTTGACGTGATCTACATTGGAAGTAGCTGCTCACTCCTTGTTATAGACAGAGGAAATCAGGCAATCCGTGAGATTCAACTTCATTTTGATGACTGTGCTTATCAGTATGGAAGTGGCTTTCCATTAGGTCAGCATTCTGCCAACATTTCCTACATTGTCTTTCAACCAACATTTCATTGGTTGATGATCTCAAACTTGGTGCAGGTATTGCCGTGCTTGTGGCTGCTGGCTTCTTTGGTTATATGTTGGCATTGCTGCAACGCCGGGTTGGTCTCATTGTATCTGCCCAAAATGTAAGTCTGAATTTTTTTGATGGATGTGTTCCTGGTTACCCTTTTCTTCATATTCTTAATGTTTTAGGGAAAGGAAAATAGTAACAGAACAACATCCTTTGCTGGTAGTTTTTCCCAAGTGCCAAAATTTTTTTTTCCTATCTGTAAAACAGTGCATTTCGCTTTGTTAACTTACCTGTGTTTGGCAGGATGAAAGTTTGCTGAAACCAACTTCTCAAAGTTCATATCTAAAGCCAATGAAATCAGTGAGGCCTCCATTGATTCCTATGGAAGGTGATGAAGAAAAGCAAGAAGAAAGTCTGTTTGGATCCCTGGGAAGGCTGATAGCACAAACGGGAGCATCTAGTTTGGAAATCCTGGGAGGCATATTCCCTTGGATTCAAAAGAAGTCATGGAACCACCATTCTCAACCACAGCAAGAACAACAACAGTACCAGCAGCATCACAAGTATTCAAGTGCCTGGCCAGTACAAGACAGCTATGTTGTTCCAGATGAAGATAAACCCCCCTCTATTGAAGCAAGGACCCCCACTCCAAGAAAAACCTACGCCTTCATGTCTGAGGATTCTGAAAAGATGCAACAGCTCCGGCAAAGCCGTGCTTTTTACAGTGGATGGGATGGAAAATTTCAGCAGCAGACTCAGAAACAGCAGCATCGGCATCAGCAGTATTCGACAACTCCTCAAACTTATTATGAACAGAGCTCTGAGAATACCAATGAGATTGTCTTTGGTGCCGTGCAGCAAGATGGGCATCGAGAAGCTATGGTGATAAAGCCATTGGATCCTGGATATCCCATCTACGGTCGCAAGAGCATTCGCTCGCGAAGCAATTCCACATCTCAAGGCAGCTGATCAAGTATACATAGGAATCCTGTAAACCAAAAAACAAAAAGAACAAGAAAAGAAAAAGAGGAACTTCCTGCTAAGGAACTTGCTTCGTGGTGGCCGCAATTGGTGATATTGGTAGTATTATTAGGTGTTTGATCCAAGAGTTGGAGATTATATTGAGAGTATAACATATGTGCTGTATATCCTGCCTTGTAGACTTGTAGTACAAAGTAATCTAATAGCTAGCTAAAATATTTGTGATTTTTCGGGGAAAAAAAAGAATCTGTTCTCTGATACTGGATATGAGTTTATCCTACTATGATCTTGGATGTTCTTCCCAACCCTTGCTCCCTATAGACTCCTCCATTTCTTCTCGACTGTCATCCATTTCTTTACCTTGTGCCAAGAAGATGCCGATTTTTACCATTGGCGAGATTAGAAATCTCAAATTCTAAGAACGCATGCGCAGACAAATTCGTTTAACATCGCCATTCTTTTCTCTCCTTTGATCCGCATTAAAAAAGCTATGTGAGAAAGTAGGATCAGCATGCCCCATGTTGAATTGCAGGAGTTGGAAGTTTTAACGGCGTTGAAATGGCTGGCAGAGGTGCTAGTTGGCCAAATATTTTTGGAAGCATTAGGGCAAACATTCTGCAGTTCTGCACCATTGAGTAGAAGAATGTCTCCAACACTAAATCAAAATGGGTATGCCATTATGGAGCAGAAAATATAATACTCATTCTCTTAATGACGCTAAGTGGTGGATCACTGATCCTGCTTAAATTAAATTATTATTTTTGGCCAATGAAATCACTTCAGTTTGAGAATCCAATCACACAAGCACGTGACCAACGGTAACACATTACAAAAAATGATGCTTCTAACAATGTTTTTTTTAGTTAGGTCCCCATAGTAATGCCTATATTACATAAGTTTTTTTATTATCCAGGCAGGGTGGGTGGTAACTGGTAATCACATTAACTAATCAAAAAGTACGAATTTAGATCAGTCTCAAGACAAATCATCCCCAAGAAAACTATATTTGCTCAGTGAAATTGTCTTTTGTGGAGTTGTTTGATAATTCACAACTGACTCTGCTAGAAGAATTCATCCCTTATCAGTATAAGACCCATGACTATTCTTAAATGGTACACACTATCCAAACTAATCACAATTCAATTTGAACTGTTTTTTTTCGAGACCAAAAGGTCTTCCAATAATAGGGGTGAGCATCGGCCGGTTCGGCCAAATACTACCATATACTTTATGAAGTCGGTTAAACATTGAAATGACTAGTATTATCAAAATTAGGGAGTTTTATAGTAGTAAGAAAGACAGGGGAAAAATAATTCAATTAAAGAACGTAAATTTTCATAATACTAACTTGTAACAAAATCGCTTCATACAATTATGCTCCGTGTGGTCAGATTTTCTATTATTCACCTTCCTCTACTTTCAATGGAGTGGTTAAGCTAAAAACTTTACCATGACTCCCATTAGTTCTTGATCATATATACTTCAATCATATTCGTTTGTTTGTAGTTTTTATGTGCCACTTTCACTAATGCTTATAGTAAGTGGGGTGATTACAGTTGGCGTTCCATGTTTGCAGTACGTCAATAGTAATTTTTACTTTTTAATGTGTAATTATATATATACTAGTGATGTCTAGTCGCGCAATGCGCGACCCTGGCCCAATATATCTGTAGATTTTAGAAATATTTGTATCTGGAAAAAATTATTTTGTATTTGGGCCGATATATTTTAGAAATGTTTGAAGAATTTAGAAATGTTTTATAAGTGTGATCATAGAAATGTTTGTATTTTGCATAAAAATAAATTGTATTTGGCCCGATACGTTTTAGAAATATTTGAAGATTTTAAAAATGTTTTATAAGTGTTACTTCTTGAATATAAATAAACTTGATCAAGTATATATCTTGAAGTAAATGCAAGACAAAATATAAAAGCATCCTCATAAGTTTAAATATTAGTAAGATAATTTATTGATGTTCTCCATTGGTTGTGCCAAATCAATACTTAGTTTTGGAGATTTATAATAGTTTTGTAATAAGCTTTCTCCAATGGGTATACGCTTAATTGTTGAAACTATTTCTTCCAAAAGTTTATAGGTAGTAAAATATCCAAAATATGATTTTGAAACTGGTTAATTGTTGAAACTGATTGATCACAAATATGAGAATGAAAATAATGTAAATTTACATAGGTTTCAAGTTATAGTAAAAAAGAACTCACCTCACCATGACAAATTAAAAAAAAAAAAAAAGTAAAAGATAGCCCATTAAAAATTAGAAGTTTATTTTTTTCTGTAGGTAAAAATGATGTATTAAAACACAAATAAACGTAGAAAAATTATTCCTTCCCTCTCCATCTCAAATTCATAAAAAGCTTCCCCATAAATTAGTTAGAAGAAGCGACCTGAACTATTTATATGATGAGGAACTAAAAAAAGTCAAAAAACCAAATTCAAAAAAGTATATCTTGAAAGACCGAACACCAAAAAAAAGCGCTTCATTTGTAAATAAAATAAAATAATAATAATAATAATTGGTCAATTGGGAGTATGAAACAAAATCAAAAGCAATTAAACAAAGAAAAAAACACACTTCATAACTGACTATATACGAAAAAAACCCTAAGACTCCATAATTAAAAAAAAAAATTAGTCTAATTGAATGAAGCATAAAAAAGAAATTTAAAAAACCACACTTTGTAACTAAAATCATACAAAAATTCTAGGCTAACTAACCATATAGGAAATCACATCATATTACCTGACAACGGTTACGGTAGCTGTAACGGATGGACGCATAAAAATAATAATAATAACACTATTCTTGAACGGGAAAAACAAAAAATAATAAAAGCCAAACAAATGATCTATGGGAATAAAATCATTTACATTTTAATACATGTAATGGCATCATCATAATGGCCGAAGCAAGATCAATGAGAATTTTTTTTTCCTTTGTTTTATATAGGTAGGTAAAGAGAATATTTTTTGAACTCGAAATTTTATCAGATTAGGATGTAGTTGATCATCACTAATGAAAAAATTTAACATGCTAATAGGAAAGGAGTATATTTCACCACATATTCTCAATGATTGATGAGAAATTTGTTTTTTTTTTTAATTGTGGAGAATGAATTGATTAGGGAGTCGATTGTCGTGGAGATGGGGATGTGGATTTGGGTTTTTTATGAACACGTGGTTTTTTTTTTTTTTTTTGCGAAAATAGGAGGTGAAAGTGTATTTGGACTGCATTTGCCTTTTAAGTCTAAGAGATGTGTAAATAAAAATTTATTTTAAAAATATGATGTGGAAATGCACATGGCAAATAATGGTATTTTTTTTAAAATGTGGTTTTTGTTTCTAATCTCAAAATTGTTTGATAAAATGTCTAACAGAAGTCAAGGATTTTAAATCCTCTTCTATTTTGAAGCTTGTTTTCCTCTTTCCTTCAAAATCTTTCTTCTCTAGTCTAGTTAGAGCGCTGGACCAATAAGTACTCCATCATCACTAACACATCAACTTCTTCCAACATCATTCGCCCCGCTACCATTCCTACGCAATATGTTTTCTTAGACCTATACTGAAAAAAATTAAACAAATAATCATCTACAAAAATATGTGAAATTAAGGTTTTACATATTCCTTCTGTCTCGAAATCAGTTTTGAAACTTGTACTAAAAAATACAAATATGATAACTCAAGTAAATGACGAAGGAGTAATAATTGGTTTCTAAAATTACTTTAGGACTAAATTTGTCGCAGCTGATAGATGTTAGCTGTCTTTTTCATCCCCACCGAAAGTATAAAAGGAGAAAAAGAAAAAGAACAAAAACAAAACGAGAACACACACACAATTAGCTCTGGTACATTTATTTACCTTATTACCGGTGGATCATGAGCTATGGCCGACTGTGGTGCAATCGTGGTTTAAACTTAGGACGGTGGTCTCAGGCCGTCGGTACACTCCCAGCAAAAGTAAGTTGCTTGGCAATTTTTAATTTGATCAACAAATTCTTTTCTTTGTTTTTTTTAAAAAAAAAACAGCAAAGAAGAGAAATGCCATTTATTCCAAGATCCAATTTTTATTTGTTTCTTTGTGTTGTTTCTCTTATTTGGCTTTCATGTGATTGATGGAAACAATTTTAGGACTCATATTCTGTTCGTATCAGATGTTTCAATAAAGTTTGTCTTTTTAAGAACTTTGAAAAACCGAATAGAACTTTTGGCCACCAAAGGATAATAAATTTGTTAAGAGAATACACCTTTTGGGTTGTTCTTAATTTCTTAATAGAACTTTTTGGGTTGTTGTTGTTTGCTTGCGATGATTTTTGTTTGTTTGGGGAACACTTTATATATATTGATGATTGAATGCCTCTACTTTTCCCCCCTCCTCCTGCAAAGTGAACAGCATTGGTTTCGTATTTTTGCAAAATTAGTTTTTCCTGTGAAGTTCCTTGAATGCAGTACTTCTATTGTTGCTTTGACCTTCATGGAATCGTTTTTTTGACATGATGCGGTTAGGACATAGGTTTGTGTGTGATGTTGAATAAAGCTCAAAGCTGTAAGAACTTTGAGAAACATTCTACTTGCTCCGAGTTTATAGAACCTTTGCCTCTTAGTATGTATGGCATCTGTGTTTTGGTTGCAAATAGTTATAATCGCTGAAAGCTCTTCTCTTGATGGCCAAGATGGTGACATCTGACTTTCAACCGATAAAAGGTAAAACCACATTGCTGATATCATTGAAGATTTTGTTTGGTATTGTTGCAAACTACTGGTAAATCAGCTTACAGATTTTAATGGTGTGTTGCTTTATTCTTTTTTCTTCCTCTTCCCCAAATAGTTTGTTAAGAAAGAGCAGCAACTTGACTGGATTGGTCAGCTCCCAGATGAGATTCTTGACCACATCCTTTCTTTTTTGACGCTTGAAGATGCTGCAAGGACAAGTGTACTCTCTGCACATTGGATAGATCTTTGGTTGTGTTGCTACGCTCAATTTTGACTCCGTAGAAATATGGAGAGGGATAAAAGGAATGGTTAAGCTGCCTAATTATGCGAGCTTACTTGAGACAAGTCGTCACAATTATGTTGAATGGGTTAACAAGGTGTTGGAATCACACAATGCCCTTGTTTTGGATGAATTCAGAATTCGCTTTAATCTGAGCAAATCTTGCAGATATGATATTGATAGATGGCTTCGGTATGCGTTTGCTAGGAGAGTGCGCAGGCTAGAGTTGGATTTGTCAGACTATGCTAGACCAGCTTGTGGAGCTCAGTATGATTTTCCTCATGACATACTTGGACTCAGGGATGGGAATTCTTTTGATTCCTGTAGGAACGGCATCAACTCTGATGCAATATTGTTTTGACTTCAAATCGCTGAGGACTTTGACCTTTTATTGTGTAGACGTGTCTTGGGAAGTTCTCGATTTTTTTTTTTTTTTGAATACTTGCCCTTCTCTGGAGCATCTGCAAGGCAAGCTCAATGTATCTGGAAAAGTTTGAAGTTTGTGGTCCATCTCTTGCACCGAAACATCTAGAGCTGATGCACTGTCCCAATTTGAGTTCCTTCATTGTTTGTGATACAAATATCGTTTCGCTTAGGACTACTTCAGGTCACTGTTTGGTGCTGAAGAATGTTCCTATGCTTGTGGATGTTTTGGTTGGTGGATTCAATTGGCAGACCAATGCAAATCCAAGCTTAGTCTATACTGCTTTTTCCTGGCTCTCTTGTTGCCTGTCAAACTTAAAGGTTCTTAGCTTAAAAATCATCGACCCTCAAGTGGAACAGGTTAGTCTCATTCTCTTGAAGTTTTCTTTTCCTTTTTTTTTTTTTTTGTGTATGGTATGAGTGAATATGAACTGATCTGTGTGAATGCCGTTCTTAATTTGGTCATCCCAGGAAATAGATACAAATACAACACTTCCTCAATTAACTAAATTGAAGCAACTTTTCTTATTTATATGCCAATTGGCGACAGGAGCCTGATACCTTTTACTTCTCTGATAAGAGCATCTCCCAACTTGGAAAAGCTTGTCCTGAAGGTATCATATCTTATGTTCTTTACGGTTAAATACTTAATTTGTTTTGCTAAATGTCTTGGATCAGTTAAACTTGTGATTCCGTGTTTTTGGTGCTCCATATGCCCTGATTTTTTTATTTTTTATTTTTTTGAAAAGCAATATGCCCTGATGTGTGTTTGTGTGTGTGTGTGTGTTCCCCCAAAATTGTAGCATGAATACGTTTCAGACTTCTTTTTTTTTTTTTCCAGTGTGTTCGGAATTTTGATGTTGACATGAAACGGACTGTTTCCGAGAACGGTAGAACAGAGGTGGAACTTATCAAGTATTTTAGAGAGAGTAATTATTGAACCCCGTGATTTATCATGGAAACGTCTCCCTGTGAATAAATCCGAAGTAAGACGCACGCTTTAGAGAACTTGCCAAGAAACAACTGAAGGGATGGTTGCCTGAAAATGTTGAATTGGTGCTTCTTTAGCTGGGTGAAGAATGATTATCATCTCTCTTCTCATTTATGTTGTGTATGGAGAAGTGTTTAAATTCTAGACCATGGATCTCATAACAGCGTTCCAAGATTTCAGTAAATACGTAGTTTGTTACATGAGAACTGCAGAGAATGTAGATATCAAGAGGCAATGCAAGTTTTCTTGGCTTGGGGATGGCTTTAGGAACAAAATATGTGAGAAACCTCAGATGGATCGGGTGATTGATCAAAGATGGTCGTACTAGAAAAATTAAATAACATTCCAAAGGTAAGGTACTACCCTCTTCATTAATTAGTTATTCTCCATTGCCGCTCATCCAAATTTTTTCAATAAAAAAATGATCGTTATCGAGGAGAGTAGGATGGTTACAGGTAGAATTTATTTTGGGAAAAAAAAAGAAAAAGAAAAAAAGAAGACCTTGTTATTAAGTTGGTAAAAAGCTATTCTGCATGTATCCAAAGTAGTAGACGACTGCGCATCTCTGGAAAGGTTATGCCACTTTTGCTTGTTCAAACTCTCTTGAAAGCCTAAAAGGATTAGCTTCTAGGAAGGAAGAAAATCAAACAAGAGACTCCATGAGCAGACACATTGATTACATTCCAACTCTAAGAAATGGTTTATAATTATGAAAGTGGAAAACTACAAATACGCCCTCGACTATTTATTATGAGATTTTTAATTTTTCTTAAATTTCATTTGTTGTGTTATTTTATTTGAAAACTATATCTTAAAAATTCTTTATATGCATTTTCACATTTATCATGTTTTCTCAATTATCATAAAATATTTTTAAAATTTAATTTTTAATTAAAAAATATAATAAATGATTTTAAACAAATTAAAATAACTTGCGAGAAGCCCTTGTATTGTTTGTGACATAGAGGAATCTATGGGGTCTACCTAATCAAACTATCATTTCCATATCAGCAGCAGTCTCTCTATCTCTCGTCGACTCTTCGAATTTCCAGCGGCAGCCGCCCCTCAGATCAAACAGGTAAGTCGTGGTTAAGCACAACAATGTTGTTCCAAGCTCCCACTTCAGGAAGCATTGGCAAAACTATGTTAGGACTAGGTTTAACCAACCTGCACGCAAGAGCCGGAGAAGAAATGCTAGGCAGAAGAAGGCTGTGAAGATCTTCCCTAGGCCAACTGCTGGACCTCTCCGTCCTATTGTCCATGGCCAGACTGTGAAGTACAACATGAAAGTCAGAGCTGGAAGAGGTTTTACTTTGGACGAGCTCAAGGCTGCTGGTATCCCTAAGAAACTTGCCCCAACTGTTGGGATCATCGACGCAAAAACAGGTCATTGGAAGGCTTTCAGGCTAATGTGCAGCGCCTCAAACTTTACAAGGCCAATTTGGTTGTCTTCCCAAGACGCACAAAGAAATTCAAGGCTGGTGATTCTGCCCCAGAGGAATTAGCAACAGCTACCCAAGTCCAAGGTCCAGTCTTGCCCATTGTTCCTGAGAAACCAACCGCGGAGCTTGTTAAGATAACTGGTGACATGAAGTCATTCAAGGCCTACAACAAGCTGCGCGATTGGAGAGGATGAATTCTCGCCACCTTGGTGCTAGGTTGAAGGGGGCAGCAGATGCTGAGGAGGAGGAGAAGAAGTAAAACTAAAATATGATTTGGATGTTGGAACTTAAGTTTTGGGAAGTAGCAGTTGAGATGGTTTGTGTTGTTGGACTTGTTTTCAATAGTATTGCTGATAGTCGTTTAATGGAAGTGTATGAACCATTACTTTGAAAAGGAACTTGGTTGATATTGTAGGCACCAAAAAAAAAAAAATATCATTTCCGATTTGAAGATTTTAACCTTTGAAACATTTTCAAATGCTATTCTTACTGAAATTTATATTATTTTTAATATAAAACTCAAACACAATATGAATTTTTTTTTAAGAAAGAGAGACAATACTATATAACTCACTCAATTCAACCAAAAAAAAAATAAAAAATCATTTTTTCAAATCCAGTATGCGTTCTACACCCGAAACATCAAGTCGTCCAAAGTTTGACATTTCTTGCGCATTCCTTTGATGTGTGTCGGGGATATGGTTGAGGAAAATGATTACTCCATGAAAATAACAATATCAGAAAACAAAGTAAAGGACACAAAAGAAAAGGAAAAAAAAACACTTTGGAACCAAATCAAGTACTCTATTCATTTTAAAACAAATATCGTTATAAGATTTACAAAATATTTTAAAATATATATCGTTTTACAAAATTAAGGTGACTTTTATTCTACTTTTTCAATATTACGTTTGCATTGGAAATAAAACCATATTAAAAATGAAATTATATTTGTTGGTGATGAGTTGTATGGATAATAAAGAAGGGCATTTTTGTAGCTCAAACACATTGTTTAATTTTGTTTGGTAGTGATAAAATTGTTAGAAAAGCAAATATTTTAGAATAGAATTAGCATAGTTGTCCAATCGAGATACTTATTGCGTAACAAAAATTTGATTTTGTGATACGGTATCGTATCGAGTATCATATCGTAAGATACATTATATATATTACTAGATGTTACCTGCACGATGTGCGGGGCAAACAAATTCACGTTTATTTTTTCATGAGATATTAATAAATATGATTAGAGCATCTACAAAGGTATACACTATTGTGAGAATGTCATGAACTGTTAATATTATATTTTTATTGTAATTTTTCACTGTATTAGTTTATATTGTAAAAGTATAATAAAATGAAATATTTTTAGTATCATCATAAATTCACATTAATTTTATTTTAACCTCAAAAAGTGTATTATATTGTATAAGAATTCTGACACCATTTAATATTATTACACTCAAAACAATGATACATATTAGGGCGTACATTTTATAATAAAATGGATATATAACTGATAAAATTCAACCACTTATGTATGACAAATTACTTCTCTATAAACACAATAATAATAATATTAAGAAATAGTTATGGTTACCAATGGTAAATATATGGATAGTTGGCTTCATAAATGGACAAAACAATTGTAGAGAAAACGACTCTACGATGAAATAGATTAAAAGAAGCGTTTAAGAATATACATTAAATTGTTTCATATTATTATATTGACCGTATGAATCTATAATCTATCTATCTATAATAATAATAATAATAATAATAATAATAATAATAATAATAATAATAATAATAATAGTAATAATAATAATAATAATAATAACCCCATTATTATAACAAAAACCACTTTTCGCACAAAATTCCTTATTTCCTTATTTCTTTACAAGTCTCTTCACCAAATGTCCCCCCAAAAAAAGTTTACAACCGGGAATTTTGCTTATCTTTAAAAAACTAAAACTCAAAAAATTAATCAATTTCCTTTAATTAGTTACGGTCATTAAATATGATAATACAATTATTTCCTCCTATCCAAATTCCAAACTGCCAATTCTCTCCAATCTACCAGCATAGGACTCTCATGTTTTTCTTCACATTTTTTATTTTTAATCATATTCCAAAACCAACTCTTAGTTCTAATTGAACGCGTTAGGAAATGAATCAGTTTTTTTTCGTTTCTTTTTAATCACAATGATTTGAACCCAATACAAATATTGATATTTGTAAAAATTATCTTTTGTAAAAGCGCACGAGCCATCCTCCTCCCAGCAAAGCTCCGCCGTGGATAAGGCGTCTCAGGGGGTGCAGTCCAAGTTTTGTCCTAGAACTCATGAATTTTTACTTCAATGGAGTCAACGTGATCTTCACCCAAACCATCTATTACCGGCCGCCACCGTGTCTCCTGGAATGCCTAGCTTCGGCGCCTATTTCGCGAAGGAAGTCTAGGATACTATTGCTCTGGCCAGAAAAATGAATGTTTATGACCTGGTTCAAGATTTCCTTAGGGTTCGTCTTTCTTGCAGCGCATTTTCTTAAATTGATGATTTGTGACTGCACGCCTTGAACCCGGATCTGGCCCACTTGTTAGATAAAAGATTATCATTGTAAAAGGAAAAAAAATGAAAACAAAACAGAGGGAATGACGCAGTGATGTAGAAGTTTGGGATCCTTCCTTACGAAGAGGTAAATCCGTTACTTAATCATACATATTACTGCTTTAGAAGCCGGAAAAGTTACCTTTATTTAGTTACGAGTGATCTTGTACTAACTCATTAAGAATGATCTTGCAGAAGAATTCATATTGGAATATGCAAAACCGACAACCCTAAAAAGACAAACGAAGACGTCGCTTATGGTGCGAAGATAAGCAGTAAATGGTGGTGATTACGATTTCCTAAGTTGCTATATTCTTTTGTTGAGAATGATAATTTTGATGTTTGGTACACCTTTCAAAACACACAAGTGATTAAAAAAAATGCAAGTCTTTTTCCAGGATTCTTAATTCGAAGAAAATTTTGAGTTGGTTTTTGTTAATGTAGCACATGATGTATTGAAGCATTGCTTTGTTTGGAAATTCTGTTGTCATTGTAAATGATACGGCAGAAGTATCGAAAGGTAGAACATTTTTGTTATTGGATATTTAAATTGCATTTTGGACTACTTTTTCTTTTGTAATTCAATTTTCGTGTTCTTTACTGTCACCCAATGCAAGTTTTTTGCATTGCCATGAAAAACTTAATCCAAATTCATATAATAGTGAGTTTGATTCTCCGGTGCAATTAGATGAACTTAAAGTTTGTTTTAGCATGTGTTCTGCCTTTTTATTTAATGCCTTGCAAAAACTTGGCAATTTTGACAAAATGTCGAATGCAACTTCCTACTTCAAATTTCAAAAAATGAACAGCAACCCCTTAAGAATTCTTCTTATAATATGCAACTTCTTACCACTAATATCTTTTATTTTCTTCAAATTTCTGTTGTCATCCTATCGGTCTTGTGATTCTTGTCTTTGGAATAAGGTGTTGCAGAGACAACGTGCTGGAAAATTGCATGAACCAAATAGAGGTGAGACATTTCTCATAACGAGTCTATCTATAAACCAAATAGAGGAGATGGAATTCAGTTCTGGTTATTGTAGAGTTTTTTTTTTTTTTTGTTGGTTATTGTAGAGTTCTTTTAGCTCTATTTGCAAGTTTTAGTTCCTCATGAAAGATTGAATCTGGAAAGTGAAGTTATAGTTGACATTGGGAGTTGATTGAGTTTTTTCCCCTTTATACTTTTAGTTTACTCTATTTCGACAAATTTAAAAATAATGGGTTGTGCTGATTCTAGGAGAAATACAGCTACAATGAAAACAAATTTTATTGAGAGTTTAAACTGAAACATTTGGAGGAGACTTAATTTCAAACTTTTTTTGGCACCTACATGAGAAATGGAACTTTGTGCAAAATAAAATGGTCCTTTAATCAGATAATGGAACCTAAGAAACAAGTTTTGAAGGCAAAAACTTTAACTGCGAAAAATGAAATGGTCCTTTTATCAGTTAATGAAGCCTAAGAATCATGATTTGAAAGCAAAAACACTGTCGTCAAAATTATATGAAGGCCCATAGGATACAGTCAATTACATAGCCGTGCGACGCATGGATCCAGAACCCAGTATATTATAAATCGCATTGAGAGTAATTCGCGAATTAGTTAAAGCAACTTGCTTTTTTTTAGGAAATTATTTCCCTTTTGAATTCGATGGGAATATATCATTTTTTAATCTTTTCCATGTTCAATTGAAATTCCATGATTTGATAGGAATCAGAGGATCAAATTTTATGAAATTATAATTGGCAGGATACTTATCTTTTAACTTTTTAATTTCTGATGAGGTTTTGTAAGCAAGATAAAGATAAAATATTTGGGATCCTTCTGTATAAATAGTTCATAGAATAAGATGATTTATGCATCTTCGTAATGATAACCTGAGCATGGTCTGAAGTGAATCTTTACCATAGTCATTTTAGAGTCAAAGAATTATACATGAAAATTTTGTATGATGTGATGTTGTGTAAAAGTAATGTTATAATTAGATGAGAATTTTAAACCAATTATCAGATATAATATCTTTTTCTTCTGCTTGATTTAAAGGTAAAATCATAACATAATTGCTCTAAAAAGATTTCACTTTTCTAAAAATATTTTTTTAAAAAAGAGAATAGTATCCAAAACATATAATCACGCTGAATGAGTAGTTTATTAAAAATGTGAAAAGCAATATTCTCTATGCAAAACGTAATTCCAATCGCCATGAATGTTTATTCAATTGTGGGTTCTTGTAGATTGTAAACCGGAAGTTTCAATTCTGTTCGATGTTGAACTAGTTAATGTGGTCTGTACTCATCAAAAAAATGAATAAATAAATAAATATAACTGGGTTCTAACACTCTTGAAGTATTAAGGAATTGTCATCAGATTGTGACTATACTTATTTTCTTTGGAGGTAAGGGTCGGGGTCGATCGTTGTTGCTCTTTACCTGCACACACTATACAACATAATCTAAAAATTTAAGAAAATTAACAACCATTTAAACTCAATAGAATGTCAACCCCAAAAAATCATCGAAGTAGAGGAACAAGAAGATGACCTCACGTTCTGATTCATTTTGATTTTTCTTTTGGTCTTTAAACATGCATGCCAACACAAGCCTTCTATATGCCTGATTTTCCAAAAAAGAAAAGCCAATTGTACTATTCTTCTCGATAGTACAAAATTTTGAATCAAAATATGGAGATTCTCTTCTACTGCTAAATTCACATTAACGAATTGGAGAGAGCTGACTAATTTGTCTCCTTTATACAAAGATATAATAATAACAATAATAAAATAAAGTAAAAAGAAGAAGGACGTTTCTTGAATATCAAACCCGTGATTCTATCCTTCAATGAATAAAAATACAAATGGATTAAACAAAAAAATCGGTATTCAAAATTTCAAAGTTAAAGTAACCATAGTTCACAACACCCATTTGAAATGGTCTTTGAAGTAGAAACACAAGGGCTTAAAGTACTCATAGAGTTATTTATACGCGATAATATACGAGATTATAGAGAATTAATTTCCAAGATATCTTGATGATTTTCAACTTTTGAATTTCAAAATATAGTAATAAATAATTTAATTATATTCTATAAGTGATTTATTATTAATTAATTGCACAAAAAATATGGGATGGATTATTAATTTTTAACTTGATTTTTGGGATAAAGATCAAAAGTTATTGGACATATTTAATGTTAATTAATTTAGATAAATGTAGTGAATGTGCTAATATGCTATAACTAATATTTTTAGGGGCTATTAACTAAATGTTGAAACTTTTTTTTCTCAAAGTTTTAAGAAATTGTCACCTAGAATTTTATCCTATGTGGCACATTTAGAAATCTTTTTTGATTTCTCTCTCTGGTTTCTCTCTTAGTATAATACTATAGATATATATTTAAAATATACACAATAAATTATATATATATATATAGAAAAATTGATGAAATTATATAAAAACATTTTAAAGAACAAATACTTACTTCAGTAATTCTGAAATAAAAATACACTTCCACGCCATCTATATGCAGAATTTCATAAAACAATAAAAATTGAAGTTTAAAAGACATTATTCAACCATGAATAAAGTATTAAATTTATTTTATAATGATGAACTTCAATTAATTAAATAAGTCGAGTTATAACATAACTAAAAAATCACAGTTTAATTTGAAACTTTTACGAGATAATTTGAATGTAATAAATAATTTCTTGTAAAATATGACAATATTTAATGCACATCATCATTATTTATATGCCATTTACTACGAAAGAATTATAAACTACAATCATTGAGGTGATACTGTGATAGTTTTAAATCATAAATAGAGAGATTCTTGTGAGATAGTCAATTTTTTTTCTTTTTTCTTCTATCTTTTTTTGTCTGCAATAAGGTGATACTGTGATAATTTTAAATCAAAATTTGTAAGTTTTATTAAAATTACACTGTTGATTAAATATATTTTTATAAAAAGGTTACACTAATTCAATAATTTACCAAAAAGTAAAATATTTATATTTAAAATAATTAGATAAATGTGTTGTATGTATGATAAGATACATGATACGTATCGTGTATCGCATGAATCGTAATATACATAAAATTAGTGATGCGGATATAAGATACGTATCGAAAACGTTAAAATTTGAATCGTATCGTAAAATACGTATGGTGTATTGTAGATTAGTACTAGAACCCACGACGATAATGAATGAACTTCGACGAAAATCTTTTTGTTTATTTTTGTCATTTTGTGAAAAATATTGAAAAAAGTTTGATCCTATTTATAGAGACATAGTCGATTCTGATTGGTGAATACAATGTGTTCCGGATTGACAAGTTTTGCCGTTCAATCACAAAGTAATCAGCGGTGGATGAGTGATTTTCTTAAAAGTTTAAAAGCTTATGAAAAATTTGACGGCACCCTGAAAAAAATATCTCGAAAAATGGGGCGAGAGCTTTCAACAAAAATATTCTCGGAATTTTTGAATATTACGGTGGATGCGTAATATTCAAACAAATTCCTTCATCCTGAACATTATAAATCTTTCTCCAAAATTTTTCCAATTTCCCTCCGAAATTCGATCCCACAAGATTAAAAGTTTTTGAAATATCAAAATAATATGAAAAAAGTTATAAATTATACTAAAAAAAATTACTAAATTCCATGTTCTTACCCTGGCCCCACGTTTTTGCCTGTATAATCCATTAATTTTTTTTTTTTTTTTTATAAAAAAGTTCATACAGTACGATGTTTCCCAAACGATTAATCAAACTTTATGGAAAATGGTTTCCTAATTTGTTGGATTTTTGAAAAATGCTTTACTTTGGTTGGTGAAATATATAGCTATATTTTTACGGATTATTAGGATATGGTTCGAATATTCACTTTTTACTTCCTCATTTTTTTTTTTTTTGAGAAATACTTCCTCATCTATTTGTTTTTAAGAAAAAATAGTCATTAACTAATTATTGATAGTTGCTTCAAAAAAGAAAAAATTATTGATAGTCATATAATACTTTTATTAATAAAGTTTGAAAGATCACTTCATACTCCCACATAAATTGCCACCAAGAAAAATGATCATGAGTAGAATCATTGGCTGCCAAAGTTTCGCTAGTCTCCTTGTCTACTAGTACTAGTGATGTCTGGTCGCGCAATGCGCGACCCTGGCCCAGTATATCTATAGATCTTAGAAATGTTTGTATTTGAAAAAACATATTTTGCATTTGGCCCGATATATTTTAAAAATATTTGAAGAATTTAGAAATGTTTTATAAGTATGATCATAAAAATGTTTGTATTTGGTAAAAAAAGAAATTGTATTTAACTCGGTACGTTTTAGAAATGTTTGAAGATTTTAGAAATATTTTATAAGTGTTACTTATTAAATATAATAAACTTGATCAAATATATGTCTTGAAGTAAATGTTAGACAAAATATAAAAGCATCCTAATAAGTTTAAATATTAGTAAGATGTTTTATTGATGTTCTCCGTTTGTCGTGCCGAATCAATACTTAGTTTTGGAGATTTATAATAGCTTTGTAGTAAGCTTCCTCCGAAAGGTATACGTTCAATTGTTGGAACCGTTTCTTCCAAAGATTTATAGGTAGTAAAATATAAAAATATGATTTTGAAACTGGTTAATTGTTGAAACTTGTTGATCACAAATATGAGAATGAAAATTAATGTAAATTTGCATAGGTTTCAAGTTATAGCAAAAAAGAACTCACCTCACCATGGCAAATAAAAAAAAAGTAAGTAAAAGAGCCATTAAAAATTGAGAAATTATTTTTTTTTCCTGTAGGTAAAAATGATGTATAAAAACACAAATAAACATAGAAACATCATTCCTTTCCTCTCTACCTCAAATTCATAAAATGCTTCCCCATAAATTAGTTAGAAGAAGCGACCTGAACTATTTATATGATGAGTAACTCAAAAAAGTCCAAAAAACCAAATCCAAAAAAGTATATTCTTGAAAGTCCGAACAAAAAAAAAAAAAAAAAAGCGCTTCATTTGCAAAAAAAATAAAATAATATGAAACATAATAATAATAATAATAATAATAATAATAATAATAATAATAATAATAATAATAATAATTGGTCAACTGGGAGTATGAAACAAAATAAAAAACAACTAAACAAAGAAAAAACACAATTCATAACTGACCATATACGAAAAAAAACTGAGACTCCATAATGAAAAAAAAACACTCTAATTGAATAAAAAAAGAAATTAAAAAAATCACACTTTGTAACAAAAACCCAATTAATCAATTCAATCCAAACAGAACTAAAATCATACAAAAATTCTAGGCTAACTAACCATATAAGATATGACATCATATTACCTGGCAACGGCTACGGTAGCTGTAACGAGTGGACGCATAAAAATAATAGTAATAACACTATTCTTGAACGAGAAAAATAAAAAATAATAAAAGCGTTACAAATGATCTGTGGATATAAAATCATTTGAATTTTAATATCTGTAATGGCATCACCACAACGGCCGAAGCAAGATCAATGAGAATTTTATTTTTTTTCCTTTTGTGTTTACATAGAAAGGTAAAGAGAATATTTTTTGAAGTCAAAATTTTATCCGATTAGGATGTAGTTGATCATAACTAATGAAAAGATTGAGCATGCTAATAGGAAAAGGGTATATTTCACCACTTATTCTCAATTGATGATTGATGCGGAATTTGTTTTGTATTTTTTTTTAATTATGGAGAAAGAATTGATTAGGGAGTCGATTGTCGTGGAGATGGGGATGAGGATTTGGGTTTTTTATGAAGCTGTGGTTTTTTTTTTTTTGGCGAAAATAGGAGGTAGAGGTGGATTTGGACTGCATTTATCTTTTAAGTCTAGGAAACTGATGTGTAAATAAAAATTTATTTTAAAAATATGATGTGGAAATGCCACATGTCAAATGGTGGTGCTTTCTTTGAGTGTGGTTTTTGTTTCTAATATAGTAAGATATAACCTTAATTAATTTTTTATTGATATAAGATACATCTAGTATATGATTAGATTACGACGTCTCCGTTGATTAGATCACATCCCCGTTGCATCCTTACGCTAGTATTCTTTTATGCACAAAAATGAGAAAAGAATAGAAAACGGAAAGAGATAATTTAGGCTATGTTTGTTTCCTTTTTTCTCATGATTTTTTCAGAATAATATAATAATATCTGTCTCATCGCAGCATATTTTTTTACATTTTTAATACATTTTTTTACATTTCCAATACAAAAAACACCTAAAAACACACACTATTAAAAAAACGAAACAAACATACCCTAGTTCGACAAAATTACTTGTAATGGAAAGATCAACCTTCTAAATTTGTTGTACATAATTCTTGGCCAAGAATACATACATACATATATATAGCAAAGTCAATGGGGGGAAAAATTACAATTTTAGATTATGTTCCCATGATTTGGTTTTTGTGTTGATTTCACTTCATACTAGGAGGATTTTCTTTTTTCTTCCCTTTCCTTAACATCTCTCTCCCATTTCTTTCTCCTCCTTTGAGCTCTCTCCTGCTTCAAGATGCAACATGAACCAATCAAACTCGTTGTCTCATCATCAATCCCCTCCTCATGATGATACATCGGAATCGGATCCGCCATCGGAATCGAAACCAGGGCCGACATCCAACCCCCCGAACATCATATACGTCCAGCATTTTGCTTCAGCAAACAATAAACCAACCCATGAAACATCATGGTCAACCAGCATGTATGGATGCTTTTCAGACATGAATACCTGTAAGTCCCCATTTTTTGTATGCGTTTTCATTCAATCCGCAACATCCAGCATTCTTCACACTATTGAATTCATTTACATTCATCTGATTCCAAATTCTTCTTCTTCTCTGCCTTTTATTATTTCCCTGATCAGGTGTTGTAACGGCGTGCTGTCCGTGCATAACTTCAGGACGCATTGCAGAAATTGTGGATGAAGGAAAAACATGTAAAAAAAATTCTTATCCTAAGTGCTGTGATGGTTATAAAAATTGCTGCTTGATGAATTAATTTGTGTGTTGTTTTTTTTTTTTTTGGTTGATGTGCTTCATGCAGCATGTGTAGAAGGGGTGATAATGTACGCGCTGTTTTCTCTGTTTTGTATAAATTGCATATACACTGGCAACAACCGATCCAAAATGAGGAAACAACATATGTTGAAGGGGAACGACTGCCATGATTGTCTTGTTCATACTTATTGCACTGCTTGTGCATTATGTCAAGAATACAGAGAGCTCTATCGTCTAGGTTTAGACCCTGGCATTGGTAAAAACTTCTCTTAAGTTTCAGTAACTACTATATACTCTGTTCTGTATTTTGATCCCATTTGATTGATTTCTTTTTTTTTTTTTTTTGGGGTGAAATGGTTAAGGCTGGCATGAAAATCTTGAGAGACAAAAACATGCAGTGGCTGTGTTCAAAATAACACCACCACGAGTGGAAGGAGGAATGATGAGATAGAAATCCTGACAATTTTTTTTTTTTTTCTGGAAGTCAAAGGTTTCTCTTTCAGATATACATCTACCTGATATGAAATTAAGATGGTGAGCAAGTTTTTCTTTTACAAATTTCTTCACCATACAATGTACTTTATATGTCACTCAGAACCTTTGTCTTTGAACATCAAACTCAGATTGCTCTGCTATAACTTTAAAGAGAAACTTAAAACAAAACAAAACAAAACATTTTATGGCTTTACTCCTCATGATGATCTTATGTTTCGCTCATTCTCATACATACTAAACTCTTTTTGCAATCACTTCCATCTAATGAGGACCCAAATGTTTCATTCTTACATGCAGATTGTTCATAGTGAAAGAAAGGAGAAATTTTAGAGCAGAAAGATTTGAGGGAGGGATGGAGGGAGAGCCAAGCACTATCTTTCAAGTATTACCACCAAAAAGGAAGAGGAAGCAACAAGATCAAATATGCATCCTTGCTTTCTTCCTCTCTTTTCTGTTTTTTTCCTTCCCTTTTTTTTTTCTTTGTGGAATTTTTGTTTTGTTGAGAGGGTGTTCATAGCACCTCACAGCAATCTTGGAGGATATCTTGCACATATTGCACATAGAAGAAAATTTTATTTTCACTTGCAACCAAGGCTGAGATTCCAGCATGCCATTCGAAAGCAAAAGGATATTAATATATCACACACACAAGGCAAACCAAACACCTAAGTGAAGTACGAAAACCAGTCTGGGAAGTACAGAAACTATCTAAAAACTACCAGCTTTTTACCTTCTTCTAGCTAGACGCAGGTTACATTCCAGATGTTCTGCCAGCAAGTTTTCATTAGCCTGCACGCAAAACCTCGTTATATTAGCTTCTATGAGGGCGTCGACTTTGCTATTGCTTACTGCAGACCAACCAGTCTTATCATTCTCATCCTCGTTCTGTTGAATGTTATCCTCAGCAACAACTGATGATGATGCTGTCCCTTCATCAAAACTTATCAAATCCTTCAGTTGATCGAAGTACAACTTTCCTAGGTCATTGTTTCTTAGGTGATCGCAATCCAATAAAGATACAGGTTTTTGGTAATTCTGGGGTTCTCCGGTTTTAATCCTAAACATAAGCGATAAAGTAGACAGGCTAAAAACAATGACCTTTCTTAAAGCTTCATATATGGTCATCCTAACAACTACGTTTTTCATGACGAAGCAAAGCATCACTAGTTGTCTCCCCAAGCAAGTTAGGCAATCTGTCCATGTCTTGTTGCAAGTTCTCAGGATCAGTCCTCCCTGTCTAGAAATTTCAGTCAAAACAATAAGAAAGTAATTGAGTTTATCCATCTTAAGGATGGGAAGAGAGTTTACTTACCCGTGACATAATATAGGGGCGAATTACAAAGCCAATAATTAAGCCAAGCAAACAAGACAATCCAAGCCCCAGCGCCCAAGCAGAGGCCTGCCCCATAACTGAGAAAAACATGAAATTTATGTTAGCCTCAATAATAAAAAACAATATATTGAATATTTTTCAAACAAACAAGAGCAACTGCAGCTAGCTGAGATGATTTATGATAGATTCACAGAAAGCACTTGTAGCAAACTTTACCTCAGAATGACAGACTTTCTCATAAACCAATTAGTGGATAAAGATGTGAAGTTCTTAAGCTACTGGAATATCAGGGGATTAGACATATTGGTACGGGTTTTATCCTTTAAAGTTGAAACCACATGCACTTTGCACCAATAATATTCAGAACTGAAAGTCCTCAATCGTGAATAACTCGTAAAATTTGAATGTCATTAAAGAGGAAAGCCGTATAAAGTGAAGATAGAGATACCACAGTTTCCTACAGATTGGCCCAGTCGCAGTAAAGAACTTGATGAGTTTCACGACTTGTAAATACTACATAAGTAAGCAGTTAACAGAAAATGCCCTTTCAACTGGTGTTCTTAACTCATAAGTCAATTTTGAATTGGATATGTGCATCAGGGACTAGTAATGACATCTAAGGAAAAAGCTTAATCTATATAGTAATGTTCAGCTGGACTTCCCTGATAGTAGCACCAACTTTACCTGATTGAGAAGCATGTGAACAATCTTCAGCCTTCAGATTTATCTGGCGGACTAAATTGTTACCACGGTCGGCTATGACTAAAGCACAGATTCCCGGAACAAAAACTAGTTCAAAGTCATTTGAGAATGATGCATTCTGGGCAGGCCCATCAGCTTTGCCTATCTTTCGATAATAACCTCCAGCAATCGTGGTCACACCTGAATTTTCATAAGGTAACTTTTTGAACACTAGATACCACAAACAGGAAATACAAAGACAATTAGGTTAATGGTGGTGAACGTGTCCAAACCTCAGTTCACAGTGTATTGACAAAATTACAAAAGGAGGTGCAAGAATTCGATCCTTCTTTGCCCCACCAATAAAGAAAAGCAACAGAAATGACAACAATGTTCTTCCTATGCTCATAAACATACTAATCATCCAGTCATGCAAACTATCGGGTCACAGATATATTTCACTTGTCAAGACAGATAAATGCAGTACTTCACCCAATCCCCAATAAAAGCAGAAGATTTGGTGTTAGTTCCAACTTCCACCAGGCCATGGCAAGTTTTCCCCCTATGTGTGAACTAGTTCTTTGATGTCGGATCCATCACCTCAGGCTACTACTACCTCGGCGAACCGATATACATTTCTATCTAGTTTTTTAATTTCTCTTTCAATGCAACAAGTTTCCATATAAACTAGCATAATCACTACCGTGTTCCCATATAAACTCAGTAAAAAGTTTCTTTACAGCACATTGGCATGGCATCATGCAGTCCGGACGATGCATACCGCTGTAACACATGCAGAATAAACTAATACAAAAGCAGTTCACAACCACCTAGGGAATTTATATTGACACACCTGTCTGACTTATTTTTCTGATGATATGGTTGAGTTTATCAGCAACATACAAATTCCCTTTGTAATCAACCGCGAAACTATTGGGCTTATTGAAAATTGCTGATCCCAAGTCACCATCAGCATACCCTGCCACTCCATTACCTGCTAGCTTCTTGATCACTTCCACCCAAAACAAGAATAATTAAAAAAAAAATAAAAAACCAATATAAAATCAAAATTCTAAAAAGAAAAGAAACAACAGAAAGATCAGATGTTTATGCGCATCCCAACTTCCCAAAAAGACATCATTTTTAGTGGGCTGGAAGAGAAAGTCACTCAAAATCAGTACTACTTTGGATGAGGGTTTTTTTTTACCTGGTGGGTTGGCGGAAGAAATGGAGTAAAAGGTACTGGTTAAAGAATCAAGCACGGTGAAATCAGAGGACCCAAATTGAGGGAGAACGGAGTGAGGGTTTACATGGTGCTTGTTGCCATCGAAGATGGTGCTAACTGTGTAGCCATCTTCCAGGATGATGACCGCTTTGGAGTCCACTGTTAAAGACACAACACGGTAGTCAGTCTCAAATGAAAAACGATACAGTAAAATCCAATAATTTTATCATCTTTAACGCCATCACAAACACAGGAGTGAATTTCTTTACCTCTGAAAATTTTGAGAATTACGATGAGGAAGAACAGAAGAGGGTAGTTGGAAGAGGCCATTTTGCTGCAATTCTTGAGGAGAGAATCTAAAGTTGGTTTCTTTGAGTGAAGACTTAAAAGACAGTGTACTGTGTATAGTCAATATTCCATACATACATTTGCACCTTCGTTTTCCCCTTTTTGTATTTTCTTTTTCCTTTTTTTTTTATTTTTTTTTATTTTTGGTTTTTAAATTTGCACTAGTTGATGATGCTCTGTGACACTTTCTATCCCTTCATATTTACTCATGACAATGAGGAATTTTTTTTTGTCAAATCCATACTGCTAACTTCCACAAATCATATGTTTGATACTGCTTACTACTATTTCACATAAAACAGACTTAAAAATTCCAAAAAAAAAAGAGAAACAAATTCCATATTTCAATAAGCCTCTTAATTACTCTTCTTAATCCCTAAGAAAAGAATAGTTCAAAAATTACAAGATCATATCCTTATTTTTTTTCTACCAAAAAATCCCATTTACACACAAAACAAAGACGGAGGTAGAAGTAATTAGCACAAACCTATTGAACTTCATTGTTCATCAAAAAATTAGAAACCAAAAAAGAAAAATAGTACTCCCTCCGTCTTATAATTATTGTTCAGTTTAAGTTTTTATTTCTAGTTTAAATTGTAAAAGTGACATTTTAAACTGGACAATAATTTTAAAATAGAGAAAGTAATAAGGAAAAAAGAAAAAAAAAAGAAGAAGATGGGATTGAATAACACAAATAACGTTTTTTCTTTGACAGCCAAGCCAATACACCTAATCACTATTCCCATGGTACAAAAAAAAAAGGGGGTAAACGAAATGGAGTGCGCAAATTCTCTACTGTTTTAGTTTTTCCCAATTTCTGCTCCAAAACACCGACCTCTTTCTTCTGTGTGGCAGATGCAAGAATTAAACTTCACTTAGATTTATATCCAATTCATAGTATATTACTCCTATTCACGCACTTGATCGTCACAGTTACCCTCATTTTGTCAAAACCGCGAAGAATTTCCCTTCCCTGTTTCAAGATCCAAATCTTGCCCTCCCAGCTGCTCCTTTGATTCTATGCCCCAGATCCTTTTGGTCTATTCAGATCTCAATTCTTTTAATTTCCGCGGGATTGTTTACACGAATTGGTAGTGTTTAGGGAGATTTTACTCGGGTTGTTTCCGTGATCCTGGATCTGATCGAGCTCTCCCGTAGTTTTAAGACGGACCCAATCATGAATCCCTTCTCGTCCGGCACGCGCCTGAGGTTAGTAGTAGCTCTTCTTACTGCCCCGTTCTCGAAAATAATGGAATTTCCTCGACGGGTCCTTTCTATTGGACCTAATTTTGCTAAATTCTTATACTTGATTGCGATAACTGCAGCGGAGTACTTCATCTTTTATATTTTTATGAATGTAATTGTTATAATGCGTTACTTTAGACTAAGTGCTCGAATTTCATAACCCCTTTATTTTTCTTTCCCAAGTAGTTGTACTGATTACAATATAAGAATCGTGTTCTGGTTCTGTAAGTTCTTTGGATAGTTCGAATGGGACATGGAGTTTTTGCTTCTCTGAAATTTTAAGTGCTTAATTTTAATGTGGTTAGCATGCTACAACTTGCCAGACGCCATTTGATCTCCTTTTTAGTAGTTGCTGGTGTTAAAGTGAGGAAGTTTCTCTACATATGTTTTTTGGGATCTTAGTTAAGTACACTATACTGTTGCTAGCTTTTTCTATGATGTTCGTGTGTTGTCTGTTATTTCTTAATAAAATGTAAGCAATATGATACCCTGAGTGTGTTTTCTATTTTTCCAGTAGTCTTTGCTTGATCTAAATTATATGATGTTAATTTGGAAATCTTGTCCATTTGTTGATTTATGTTTTTCTTTGTATGCTCTTCTATCATTACTTCCTCTCTTATTTCAACACCTGTGATGGAGGTGAGCTTTGTCTTCCTATCAAAATTGGATTTTCTTAGGGTTCATTTTTTTTCCTTTAATTTGAAAAGGGCTTTCGTTTTCCTGGAGTTCTAGTTCTCTTCATGTTTGTTTTCTGTTCTCTCCCATTCTTTCTTACTGATGGGGAATTTGGCAAGCCAAGAAATGCTGACTAGAACCACTACTAAGCCACCTTCCCTGAAAATTTAGATTTTGTGTAATTTCACATTGGTGGCTAGTCACATGCTGTTCCTTATGGTTGTTTAGCATGGGGAAGACACAAATAAAAAAACCTGAATGTCAAAGGGAACTTGGGTTGCTTAGAAAATAGAAACCTCTGGCCTTGTTTGATCGAAAGTCAGTTTGTGGAAACACTTCTGGGTTTGGTGTCCCCCAGACAACAGACTAGATGCAATCTGTTGGTTCAACCTTTGAGATTCACGTATAAATTTGTCTTTATTTGATGGTCTTCGACATTCACCATGACCCAAAATGGAACTGTTCTATTCTTTTTCCATATCAGTGAATGTTTATTATTAGCTTGAAAAATGTAGCTCCATTTCTAGTCCTAGCTGACCTTTCTCTGCAGGGACATGATTCGGTCAATACGTGCCTGCAAAACTGCTGCAGAGGAGCGTGCTGTTATTAGGAAGGAATGTGCTGCCATTCGTGCTGCCATTAGTGAAAATGATCAAGATTATAGGCATCGTAATCTTGCAAAACTCATGTTTATTCACATGCTTGGATACCCTACACACTTTGGGCAAATGGAATGCCTGAAGTCAATCGCATCTCCTGGATTCCCGGAGAAGAGAATAGGATATCTTGCCCTCATGTTGCTTCTTGATGAAAGACAAGAAGTTTTGATGTTGGTTACCAATTCCATTAAACAGTATCCTCAAATGGTTCTTGTTTTTCATTTCCCCTTCGTTGTTTTTTCCCCGCTTGTTCGGTGGAGCTGACCCTTGATTGAGTAATATGTGCTGGAAAAAAATTGCATTTGACTAATCCATCAAAGTTTGTTATCACTTTTACATTCTTGATTTCATTGACAGATCATTCATGAATGTTTTGAGCTGTTAATTCTCTGAGCTGTATATATTGTTAGAAGAACTTGTATTTGACTTTAATTCATGAATGTTTGCTATCACTAGTATACTATTTGTTTCGTGTAATGATCATCCAGTCACCTTAACTTATGTATAGAGATCTTAATCACACCAATCAGTATATTGTGGGGCTAGCTCTTTGTGCTTTGGGGAATATTTGTTCTGCAGAAATGGCTCGTGACCTTGCCCCAGAAGTTGAAAGGTTACTACAATTCAGAGATCCAAACATCCGAAAGAAAGTAAATTCTCATTGCCTTTCAATCAATGCTTATCTAATTTTCATCTTATGAATTATCCAGTGCCTATATGGACTTTCTCATGTTTTCACATGTTCAACACCTTCCTTTTTTTTGGTGTTTTGTCATCAAAGTTTATTGTCTATCAACTCAAAAGGTTATTATTTGTTTACTCAAGTCTCTCTGAATGTAGGCAGCCCTCTGCGCCATCAGAATTGTGAAAAAAGTTCCAGATCTGGCAGAAAATTTCATAAACCCTGCTGCTTCCTTACTGAAGGAAAAGCACCATGGAGTTCTTTTAACTGGAGTGCAGCTTTGTACAGATTTATGCAAGATTAGTGATGATGCACTTGAGTATTTCCGAAAGGTATATTTGATTCTCTTCTGTTCTACGTTTCTAAAGTAAGAGTAAGATATAGAATGCACCTCTTGTTTGGTGTTTTAAGTTGCACAGGAATTTGATTTTCCATTTCATTGCTTGTATGCTCAATGCCTTGAAGTTACTCAATCTCATTATCCACTCTCTGTCTACATCATACTTCACAAACTTATCAGGACTTTGATGTTGTTTCAGTAGACAAGTCATTGAAAATATTGCTCAACCTCATTGTTAGCTTATGTTGACGACCATTTGCCCGATGCAGATAAAAGTATTGAAAGAAAAGTGTTTCCAAACCAATTTATATGATGGAATAACATAAGTTATATGATTCTAGATGCCAGCTAAAAGAAACTGCATGAAGTAACTGCACACTTTGCCTTGGTATGCAAGCACTTTTCTTGGCGAAGAATTTGACTTAAATTTTCATTTAAACCTTCAGTATTCAATACTTCACTTGTTAGGTGAGGAAGGTTGTGGGAGGCAAAAGTTTAGCATTCTCTGAGAACTATTAGTTGCTATTTAGAATTTCTCAGTTTCTTCCTTGTCAAAGTACAGCTTTCTTAATGTGAGCAATTTCACACCTTAAAACTCCAATCCATGGTCAGTTGAATCTAGAACTTCAGATTTACTGTTATCATATCCTTGCATCTGCAAAGTTGCGATATTGATTGGTGTTCTAACTTTCAACAATGATTGATTCGTGAACTTTCATGTGGTGATTTAATTGGCTATGTAATTGACAGTGTGTATAATAGTTTCTTTCTCAAATTTTCTTCCTGTGAAGGACTTGATTGTTTTTCTTCTCCCTCACTGCTGTGTTTCAGAAATGCACAGATGGTTCAGTGAAACTGTTAAGAGATTTGGCAAACAGTCCATATGCTCCAGAATATGACATTTCTGGGATTGCAGATCCTTTTCTCCATATCAGATTGCTCAAGTTTTTGCGTGTTCTAGGACAGGGAAATGTTGATGCCAGTGATTCTATGAATGATATTCTTGCTCAGGTGAGGTCTTTTAAGTTCTGCTCTTTACAATTTTTGGCAGGCCTGAAGTGTTATTTTTATATTCTTGCTTAGCTTATTCTGTACTCTAGAGCTGTGAAATTTAAACTCTTGGTGAAAACATAAAATGTTGAATTGAAATTTTCCACTAATCACTGATAGTGATTGCATATTTTTTTCTGCACTCTAGCTGAGCTTAAGATTAATCTACCACTTCATTGTTGTAGATTCAGCACTTAAATGCAATGTGTTTGTTTCAGGTGGCTACAAAAACTGAGTCAAACAAAAATGCAGGTAATGCGATTCTCTATGAGTGTGTTGCCACCATTATGAGCATTGAAGATAGTAGTGGCTTGCGGGTACTTGCCATCAATATCCTGGGAAGATTTTTGTCCAACCGTGACAACAATATTAGGTGAAGTAGTTCACACCCTGCTAGTTATGTCCTTACATGTGACGGCTTTTATTCCTCTCTCAGGGATTGTTCATGTCATTCATTGGTTCATTGGACCAGTTATGTACAAGAGAATTTGCATTTAATTAGCGATAGTTCCTTCTCCTGAGAGTTTGTTAAAGACTGGCTAACTGCATTAAGTTCGTAGACCTTCTCTGGAAATGTTTCTTCCTTTTCTGGTGGTTGAGACTTGAGAATGGTTATCTTTTCCCATTTACCAGCTTTTTTGGTATTCATGCAGCTTTGCCTTGGAAAACTAAGGATTTGTCCTGATGGTTAAATACTACTTAGTAACATAGTGGTTAATCTTATCTTCTTGTTTGTCAGGTATGTTGCTCTGAACATGCTGATGAAAGCTATTACCGTAGATAGTCAAGCCGTGCAGAGGCATAGAACAACAATCTTGGAGTGTGTCAAGGTATCTTGATCAACATTCTTGCCAGCTATTGTTTGATGCATTCTCTATTCTTGCACACGTGCATAGTTTATGCTTGTTTGCCTGTGAACGCTCTCTAGTGGAGAAATAGCGATTGGGCTTTCTGATTTTTAGGCTAGGTGTCATTTAAACTCCCCTTTTGTTCCCTATATTATGGGCTCTATAACCAGACAATGGAACATAGATACACCTGTAAGTTAGCTCACCAGTCTTCCAGGCATCTCTATTGATGGGGAACAGGGGATCAATTGAAATTAGACTGAATAGGCAAACCCTAGCTCTAGGGATTTTTAAAAGACAGAGTCTTTGGAAGCTTTAAAAGCTTGGTTTTTTTAAAAAACATCAAGATAACGTGAATAACAAAGGTGCAGAAGCTCTCTATTTATAGAGAGATTCTGTTTATTCCTAATCGTACTAGGCTTAGTAATTTCCTAAAACTTAAGACTAAAACTGACGCTTAAATAAAATACTTAAACAAAAAAGGAAATTACTTATACTAATTAAATAATAAAACTATTTCCCTAAATCTTCCTGCATCATCTATGCTTGTGCATGTATTGCGAGAAGCTCTGCCTAATCAAACCTGTGAACCCATTGTTGCAAAGAAAGCTTCTTATCCGTATGGAGCTTGTGCAATTGAAAATTGTTGTTTTCTCCTTCTAAATCGGTGGAAGTATTTTTTGAACTAAAAGGTATTCTGCTTGTATCTGTATCCCTAATTTATGATTACCTTTTCCTTTTGCCTTTTCAGGATTCAGATGCCTCTATCCGCAAAAGGGCCTTGGAGCTTGTGTATCTACTAATAAATGAAAGTAATGTGAAACCTTTGACCAAGGAGCTGATAGACTACCTAGAAGTCAGCGAGCCAGAGTTCAGAGGGGATCTTACTGCCAAAATTTGCTCGATTGTGGAAAGGTTAGTTGAAAGCTTGCGTACGCTAGAATGTGTGGATTCATTGTTGGTAAATGATATTATGCATTGCTAATTCTTATCATTAATGAGTTATTGGGTGCCCAACAACCATTTAATTAAAATTTTGTTTGCAGATCAAAATTGTTTGAGGTGCCCATGATACCTTTTTGTTAAAGTTTTTAGTGTAGTGGTTATTACAGCGTTAGCCACAAAAATTCTTCTTAACTTGAACTTTGTGCCCATTTAATGCACATGAGCATTCTGAACTATAAAGAGTACTGATGTACTGGTAGTTTAACTTACTTTAGCTTATTAAGATTTAATTTCAGGGAAAATGATATCTGTAGGTGAAAATAGATTAGTGAAATGGGATAGTGACTGATGTGGCGTATGTATAAATACTTAACTACCCTCATTAAGTTGGGGGTTATTGAGAGAGTGGTTAAATTTAATTACTTTCTCTCTCTACACCATCTCTGTTCTTTCTTTGTCAGATTATGAAGAGGAATTGATGCAAAATTATCTCATTTCTTCTTACAAGCTATCTATGAAAGAACTGGCAGAAGTGCCTGCTTTTATCTTTGAAATATATACTCTGACACGGCTATCATGTGCTGTTAGGTTTTCTCCAGATAAAATTTGGTATATCGATCAAATGCTCAAGGTTCTCTCTGAGGTACTCTTTCAATTTTAGATGTTCTGTTTATTATTTTGGTTTTTTGCCAAATGTTATTTTAACATTAATAAATTTTGCATTATGGTTCAAAATGATGAATTATATCCTTTTACAGATTGGGAATTGAATGACAGCCTAGTGGTTAGGTTGTGTTGTCTTTCCTGGTGGTAGATCAGGGTTCGATTCCTACCAGAGGTTGTAAGGGGGGTTTTACCCACATTTGAGTGGGGTCCACTGGGGTGGATTTTTGAAAAAAAAAAATCCTTTTACAGATTTTTTTATTATTTTTTTATTTTTTTGCTTGTTTATTTTCTTTACAATTGGGCTACAAAATGATGATGTTCTATCTACCATAGCCTTGCTAATTGCAGAAGTAAATCAATAAATTTCTTGGACTTCCGAAGAAATTTGTGTGACCCTAATAGGTTGTCATGGTTATTTGTTAGTCTCATTTTAGTTGCCCTTGAAGAACCTTTCAGGCAATTGAATAAGAATACAAAATGATAGATATCTTTGAATAATCACTTATTAAAATTTTCATGTTTGTCTCAATGGACCTTTTAGTTTTATGTAAAGTTCAATAACTAAATTTTCATCAGCAGAAAGATATTTTGAAAAAAAAAGAGATCTTTTTCTTTGAATGATTGTTAGGTACTTGTGCTCCCAGTTGCGGATTTACTAGTTGCTTTTCCACCTTAAAAAAACATCATGTCTTAGTCTCGGAAAAGAATTTTTTTTTCCCACCTAGTGAGACCATTTGAGTTCTCATAGCTAACTGAAATTGAGGCCAGATTTTTTATTCATGGTGTCTTTTCTGCTTATCTTCTCCTGTTCTTGTTGTAGAGTTTTAATTACGGAACTCTGGTCTGCAGGCAGGGAATTATGTGAAGGACGATGTATGGCATGCTCTTATTGTTGTTATTACGAATGCTTCACATCTTCACGGCTATACAGTAAGGTCGCTGTTCAGAGTAGTCCAAACTGCGGGTGATCAGGTTTTTTTCTCTTCTTCCCCCACCCACACACACACACACACAAATCAAACTTCTTAATTAGTGGATTCTGAAAGTTTTTGTAGTGATTGCAATTTCATGTACTTTTTCTATCAGGAAACTCTTGTTCGAGTTGGGGTTTGGTGCATCGGAGAATATGGGGATATGTTGGTTAATAACACTGGAGTCCTTCATATTGAGGAGCCACTAACTGTGAGTTGATGTTTGCCTTAATCCAAACCACCACCACACCCCCCACCAAAATAATTTCATTGTCATCCAATCATGGGTCAAGGGCACATATTCTATATGAAGTTTGTTGTGATATATTGACATCTTTGGTGATTAATTGAGTGAATTCTTGTTCATCTGATCTATTTTTTATTTCCCCGTTACTTATAATAGGTCATGTGGAGCTCTTAGTTTTTTTCTCATATTTTCTTTTTCTACATGAAAAGTTTACTTCTTCTTACTAGTGTGTATGTCTTTTTCAAAAAAAATAAAATAAAAAAACTAGTGTGTATGTACTACTGTCTATTTCCTTGATGAGATACCATTTCAAAGCCAAAGTGATGTATATTTAACTTTTGTAGAATATTTTTTTGTCTTCTTTTTGTCCGCCCACGCCTTCTTTCTGTTCTCCTTGGATACTTAATTGACCCAGATATTTGAAGCAGGTTACGGAATCGGATGCTGTGGATATTGTAGAGACTGCCATCAAACGACATTCCGCGGATCTCACTACGCGAGCAATGTGTCTTGTTGCTTTGTTAAAGCTATCCGGCCGTTTTCCAGCATGTTCACAGTATGTTACAGTCATGATTTAATTTTGTATTATGCTCTTGAGCTGTTGCAAAACCTATTGCTTTGGCTGAATGTTTGAAATATCGAGCTCATCCTGTAGCTTTCACTTCATGCACTTGTCTTCCCCTCTTGCCTCATGGGAGTGACGTCGGAGTTTAATGTTGCTCGTATTTATTTTCTCAGCCTATATTGTCTTGTTGCTTAGACCATTATTTATATGTTGCTTAGGAGGATCAATGATATCGTGAATCAGTATAAAGGAAGCTTGGTGCTCGAACTGCAGCAGAGAGCCATTGAATTTAGCTCTGTTGTCGATAAGCATAAGAATATAAGGTATCATTATGATTTCTCCCTCCATTTGTTGGGAGTTTCACTTGAGGATAGCCATTTAACTAAACAGTTCAATGGCCCTTCCCAGGTCCACTCTGGTTGAGAGGATGCCAGTGCTTGATGAGGATACATTCAGCGGAAGGAGGGCTGGTTCCGTGCCAGCAGCTGTATCTACATCAAAAGTTGCTCCGCTTGATCTTCCTAACGGAGGTGGCAAAGTCATAGATGCTCCCCTGATTGATCTGTTAGGTTTTGATGTACCGGAGCCTACCCCAGATCATGATAATCATCACAATCTTATCAATGTCAATGTCTCACCAACTTCATCGCCTCCAGGTTTCTGTTACTCCTGCAAATATGATGGCTTCTTTTAGTTTTAACCCATTTGCTTTTACTTATATCGATGTTTTCTATCTGCTGGTTGCATCTCAGGCCCAAATCATGCTCACAATGATTTACTGATGGATCTTTTGACTATTGGAACACCTCCTGCTCAAAATTCTTCATCTGTTCCTGACATACTATCACCCAATCAGGATAAACTGAGTTCGATAAATATTTTGGACCAGTTGTCCTCACCTGCAGCTTCAGTAGAAGGAAAAATTCCTCCTGCAAGTTCTCCCATGCTGGATCTAATGGATGGATTTGGTGACAGTCCATCCAACCCTCGTATGTTTTCTCTTGCGTTGTCTATTGGGGTTTCTTCTCTTTTTTGGTTCAGCCAAATATCATTTTTTATTGTTTGTTTTCACAGAAGACAACGGTTCAGCATATCCATCAATTACTGCATTTGAGAGCAGCTCTTTGAGGGTTACTTTTAACTTTTCGAAGCAGCCTGGGAACCCACAGACAACAATCATCGAAGCTAACTTTGAGAATAAGACATCCAACTCCTATACCGATTTCATATTTCAGGCTGCAGTTCCCAAGGTGATGTCTATTTGTTGGTAGTTTTACACTTTTTACAACTGATGTTGAATGAAGCTCACGATATTGTAACACTTTCTATTGTCAACAGTTTCTTCAGTTGCACTTGGATCCGGCTAGCAGCAATGTTCTTCCTTCTAATGGTAACGGATCAATCTCTCAAAGGTTACGAATCACGAATAGCCAACATGGAAAGGTACTGTAAACTTGTCAACCGTATTTGAGGTTTGGCATGCTCGGGTTGTCTGAACTGTGTGCTCAATTAGCTGGTGCTACCCCATCAGGGGAGCTATTTATATTCAGGAGAGGGTGCTGAAATTTTGACAAATTGATGTGATTTTACTTTCAGAAATCCCTTGTGATGAAAATGCGGATAGGCTACAAGATGAACAACAAAGAAGTGTTGGAGGAAGGACAAATCAGCAAATTTCCCCCGGGTTTGTGAAATTGAAGGATCTCATTGATTATCTTTTCATTGCATCAGAGAGGAACAGCGGAGCTTTTTCGTTACATGTAACATCTTCCGGTTCTCCTCTATTCCATTGGATATGGGAACATGTAACATCTTCCAGTGCTCCTCGATTCCATTGGATATGGGATGTGGTAGGCGGAGTTTTGAATGATAGAGATGCATGGATTTCGTTGTGGCCTTGCAAAGGCAGTTTTTGTACATTAGGGTTCACGGTCGGTGTTCATGGTATAATACTCCATTGGGGGAAACCAAATTTTGCCTTCGGCAGACATAGAAAGGGCTTTTTGTCCAAATTCTTCTAATTATGTGAGTACATACACATTGTTGTTTATTCTCGTCTTGATGGAAAATATCGAAGTCCAGCTTGGAAACCCTCATGTGTTTCTGCTTGTAAACAAAGAATACCAAAAGATCAGTCTTAGACTTATGCTCAAAATTAATTTCTAAATGAAAAAGTTGTAGTAAATGATACAGGTTTTCTTCAAGAAAGCCTACGTTCTTGTTTGTGTCTATATTTTGATTTGGAAACGGCAAATGAACTACTCCTGGTTTCATGTTTTGTTTTTCCCTTTCGTTTAAGCTCTATGATACATTTCAACTGTTTGTCCTGTTTTTTTTTTTAACATTCACTGTACAATCATACCCTTTTCTGTTGCAAAATAAGAGTATTGTGATTGTATTAAAATTGCCCAAAGCCTTCAATATTCTTCTTCTCACATTGGCGTACTGGTTTTAAATATACGAATGAAATCATGGACTGGGATACAGCGAAGATATCTTGAGATCTTGGTTTGAAACTGTGGTAGTGTAAGTAATACATCAAATATGTCTACGATGACATGTCTTGGCATCAAGTAAACTGCCCCAAATAAACTAATATCGGTTTCACGTGCATGTTTGGAATTACGTGAAGTTTAGGTAATACAAAAACAAATGCAATGTTAATGAACCCAGCTAGTTTCTTCTTTAACTTGAGGTCGAATTGATAACAACCCTTTACTGAATTACTGCTAGAATCTTCTGTAATGCTTCTAATGATACATTTACGTTGTCATATATTCGTGGTTTAATAGTAATGCTTTACGAAATAGTATTCGAGTTCTTATTTGATAAGTGATTGAATGCACAAAATTCTTAAATATTATATTTTACAAGTGCAACACCAAAAGTAATATGAGGGAAAGCTTTGCTCTGTTTTTCCGTGTACAAAATCATTTCACTCAAATTAGTGTGGAGTATTAGATTGAGTGAAAGGGAAAAAGGGCTGAAACATCATAATCAAATTCAAACAGTGTGCTTAAAGTAGTTACTACTGTTGTATGTGTACGTATTATGGTGTTACATCTGTAGTTACCTTCATCCACAGTCATTGCAGTTTTAATTCACGCTCTTCTTTTGTTGCTTGAACATCATGATGAAAGGTGCAATTATAAATTAGTGGTTGAACTTGTACATCATCATAGAAAACCCAACAACGTTGACAACTCTTAGGTGCACTACGTACTTCGTAAGTTTTTAATTCGGTGCTACGTTTTTTAGAAGAATTTTTTTTTTTTTAAAAAAAAAGAAATTCGTATTAATTACAAAATTCTATCATCGATACAAATTTTGTCCAAACTCCAAACTTGTCATGATCATCTTAAAACGACTGACTGTTTTGATGAAATAGGTTAAACTATTCGAAAATTACCTAAATACGTTCATTTTAGAATAATCTAACCACTAATTATTTTAAAACGAAGAGAGAACATCAAAAGCAATCTCCTTCAGCCGATGGCTCCCACAAGAAGATGTCAACATTGCAATTACAACTTTAGTCAAAATCTCCACTAATCATAATTCACACAAGAGTTCCTAATATCAGGTTTTAGGTGATCCCCCAACTAAATTGGGGTCTAAATCTAATTCATTTCTCATAATGAAAAAGAAAGGACCCCATCTGGGGAAGCATGGGAAATCATAACTTCTATTTCTAGAGAAACCCACTGTTTTCGGTTTGCTGAAAGCAAGAATACACAGATACTATCAAACTTGGGGGCTGCAGAACAGCAACTTAAGAGGGTCCCTACGCAAATCTAAATTACGTGCTCTTTTCCATTAAACAAACAGGGAATTCTAGTAAAAGAACATGGACTTAAATAATTGCCTTGCCAAAAGTATTTTGTAGGCCAAACTGGCATGGATCTTCTTGATTAAAGTACTATTTCAATCTTTGTCAATTTCATACGGTCTCAGTCTCTTTTGGGGTTTATATGCTGTAAGTATACATTATAACTATTCAATCATTGATCTGCATGTAGTTGAACAGGTGTCATATATCAAAAGAGATCAAGAAAGACAAACCACGAGCTCTAAAGTTTGCTTTGACTCAAGGGTGGAAAAAAAAAATGAAACATTAAAATGTTACACCTACAAAATGATAATGCTGGTAGCTAGCCTGAATGAATGAAGAAAGAAAGCATGCTAGGGATTCATCAAAAGGAAAGGAAAGCAGCTCTTTGTGAAATTTGAATGAAAGCTAAAGTAAAATGTTTCCCATCTCCCACAAAAGTGATGGAAAAAAGGAGCATCATTTGGCAAGAGACCACAGAAAAAGAATCTAAAGAAAACACTAGAAAGCACAAGCTTTAGTAAAAGCTTTGATCAACAGTTTTGATGGATGTAAAAATCTCTGTGGAGATGGCCAAAAAAAGAATAATATTACTATTATTACCACTAAGGCACTAAGGGCATCTTTGCTATAGGCTGTTTAGATGTAGCAGTCAATGGAAAATTAACATTAATGGAACTAGAAATCTGGTGATTATCTGCAGAAGTGGGGAATTTGCCTTTGTTGTTGGACCACAGCCAGACCTTGGAAACAGAAAAGCTCTCCCCTTTGCTTCTCATGTTAATCTTCTTACCATCAGTAACACTAATACCCCCATCATTAATCATGGAACTCCCATTTGGTCCACCTTTTTCTTTTGCTCTTACAAGCCTTTGATCAAGAACATCATTGTTATTTCCCTTGGTTCTTTTAGGACACAAAGTTACTTGCAGTTCCGAGTCAGCAACTACATACTGGAAAGAGCCCATTGAAAAGCACCTTCTTGCATCCAAATTACTGCTGCTTGTCTCTCCAACTTCAATATCTTCAACTTTACCATTTATGTTCTTAAATTTGCCAAGCCTGACTGAAAACACCCTCTTTCCATTAACAATACTATTCTCTGCAGCCTCAGCTGGCTTATTAGGACCACTGGGAATGGCAACCCCCAAGTTCTCTGAAAATCCCACATCTTCATCCTTGAAATCATCAAACTCAAAAACTGGATTTTCAATGGAAAATTCTGGGCTAAAAAGGGTACCTCTGCAAAGTGGGCAAGTTGAATTTGACAACAACCATGTGTCTATGCAATCAATATGAAAAGCATGACTACACAATGGCAGCAACCTTAACTTATCCTGTTCTGAGAACTCACAGAGGCAAACAGCACAATCAAACGGCTCTTTTGGACCCCGGATATCTTTGTAAAGAAAGAGTGGCAGAGCATCAATAATGGTCTGATCTAGACCTGAATCATGAAGATTGAATAGCTGCTGTAATTGTCTTTGATAAGCTTCAGAACTTGACATATCTAGATGCGCATTAGACCGTGAAATTTGGGATTGCCTCCTTTTTACCAGAAACCTCACCAGCAAGTGTAGAATACCAGAAATGAAGAACACGACTGCCAGTATCACTATAATGAAAATAATGGCAGGGCTTATTTTACTTCCTGATTGAATCCAAGGCATTTTTAGCTCCAAAAGACCATAACTCTTAACCTATAAATTAGTAACTGAAAATAAAGGAAGAGCTCAATCCACTCCCCTCTATTTCAAATTGCAGCTCTCAAGAAACCATTGACCCCAATATTGCTAACTTCCAGGACAATCCCAGCTCAGAAAATAAGATGAACAAGTAATGGACCCATATTTGAAATTTCCTTCCTTTCTTGTATTCACAAGAAATCCAAAATTGGATTAGACAAATGAATACCAAGACAACAAAAAAAAAAAAAAAACCAATCTTCTGATCAAATATGCCCTTAAAAAAAAACCAATCTTTTGCTTTGCTGTATTATGGAACTAGAGCCAACCAAGTATGAAATGAAAGAGTGACTGCACCAGACGTACTAACAGTAAGACAAATAAAGAAAGAATGTGAGGAAGTGATGTCAAAGACAGCAGCAGCTTACCTAATTCAAAGATTACATGGAAAAATCAATCAATCAATCAAATATCTCTCTGCTACAAGGAAATCCCCAGGAATGATGAAACTCTTTGAAGGTTTTGTTTTTGTCTTTTTCTCCTTTGGGTTTGGTTGATGTGGGTTTAGCTCATAACAGAGTTTTTTGTTAGGCTGTTTGTTCTGTTTGGAGTTTGGAGCAGAAAGCTCTTGGAATGGTCAGGACAGGAGCGGTCCTTTCTTTTTCCTTTTAAAGGAGAGAAGAAAAAAACATTAAAATAGAAAAACGCATACTGGGCTTTTTGTTAACATTGAGCTACAAGTGTTAATCCATTACCCAAAAGACCATTACACCCTTTTTGTTTTCGATTCTTCTATCCTCCGCTACACATGTAATCCAGTGTAATCCATTTTTGGGCTTCTTAACTTCTTCAAGAGTCCACTGGGGACCGTATTCTTGGGTCAGATGTAGGCCTAATAGGTTACAGGCCCACAAGATATTTCCACACTTTTCAAGTCGGGATACTGAAAAGTGAAAACCGACTTGAAACAAATTACAAGGACTTAGAAAGAAAAAAAGCGACCTGTACAGTGAAATTGCAAACTCCACCAATTATTCCATAAATTTGGATTTAAGTCCCTGAAAAATGAATATACCCAGATCTTAAAATGCTGGCCCCAATTCCAAACTTCTCTATAGCAAACAGATTGAGACGGAAGAATGTATAATAATGAAATCAAACTATATCTTAATTTAGCCTAAACATTATAATAGTATATTACTTGTGATTTTAGAGATCATACCACCAAAAGAATATGAAAATTGACACAAAACTATTAACTTTCATTAAAGTACCAGAAAATGATTGCCATAAAATTAAGGGCAAACTCACAATCATACATGAGCTGAAAACTCGAAAGAGAAACAAGACTCTAAGATGGTTTTAGTATAACACAAACCATCACATTGACCATCGATGGTATTTTAATCTCTTAAAAATCTACGATCGTAATAGGAGAACTAGACGGGATGGTCGTAATAAAAAAACCACCACACTTAAACCCACTAAAAACTGGAAAAAGAAAAACCCATATTTAAGAAATTGCGATTGGCTAATAATTAATCACCAATGCAGGCTGAATCTTCTTGTTCTTCATGACACAAAGTTGCACCAACTCCTTCACAAGATGATCATCAATGTCTTCTTCTCCCTTCAAGTCAAACTTCCTCTTCATGTCTTTGGCTTTCTTCCTGACTTGTTCTCCACCAATTCCCTTTACAACAGAGTCAATAACCTTTGCGATTCTCCCCCTTTGAAGACTACCGTCTGAATCTCTCAAAACTTCAATTCCAACGCCAACTTCTTCAATCAAACGAGCATTAACAGGCTGGTCAAGGTGCATTGGCATGGCAATAATGGGAAGACCAAACTTCATGCCTTCCAATACAGAATTCCAACCACAATGACTAACAAAACCGCCAACATTGGGATGGGTCAAGATTTTGGTTTGTGGTGCCCACCCTTTGACGACTTTTCCCCTATCCCCAACCCTACTTTGAAAACCCTCGGGCAAGGCTTCTTCGAGGGAAAGATCTTTCCCTTTCGGAAACCTAATAACCCAAATAAAATTAACATTACAAAGTTCCAAACCATGAGCAATTTCCTCCAAATCTTCACTAGACAAAAAATATTCACTCCCGAAAGAAACAAATATCGTTGAACCCTTTTCCTTTTTGTTAAGCCAATCCATAACTTCACAATCTTCATCTTCACCATCACTAAAAACAGGTTCTTGAACCAAATGACCAACAGGCACAACTTTCTTCCCAGTTAGAGTGGAAAAATAATCAATATACTTTCCCTCAATTTCCTTAACACTCTTGACTAGGACAATCTTAGTAGATGTATCAATGCACTCAATGAAAGACTTTGAATCCTTATTATGCACAAACAACTCTTTTTCCTTATCTGATTCGTATTCACGATAGTAAATACTTGATTCAAAAGGAAACTTGTCACCTGGCAACTTAAGTGAGTGGTAGACCTTTGAAGCCATTGTCACACTGCTGCTAATAAACTCAACAGACGGGATATCGTAGAGCGAAGCCGCCACCGGGGCCCACGGCTGAAGGAGATCATATATGAGCAAATCAGGCTTCAAATCTTTTAGGATTTTACGTAAATTGGGACAAGACAAGTCAAAGGCTTTTTTGAGGGTTGGCATCAAATGGGGTGGAAGTCCATTGGTGGTATGATAATTTGGCGGGAGACCAGGAAGAGATGGAAGCTTGAGTTCAACAAGTTTGATTGCTTGGCTAAACTTCTCACTGAGTTTTGACTTTGCTGAAGTTAAATTGGCACGTGTGGAACACAAGTAGATGGTGAAGTTCCTGGTGGAAAGCTTTTTGGCTAGTTCAAGGTAAGGAGAAATATGTCCGTGACCTAGCCATGGAAACATAAGGACACTGAAACTAGCACGTTTCTCCATTAATGTTTGCAGGGAAAAAAAATTAATTTTGATATGAATGAACAAATTTGTGTGTGTCTATAGAAAAGGCTGGACGATGATGGGTGATTGTGAAAAACTTTGGGGTTGGAGGGGTCGTTTATATTGAGTTTTTTAGGTTTAAAAATGGTAAGTTCAATTGATTGATTGTGCATCGCTTTAAGAAAGAAATCTTCAGAGAATTGTACTGGAAAAAAAAAAAAAAAAAAGAAGAAATCTTCAGTAACAAAGGAAGGGGAATAATATGTGTGCATGTTAGGTTTCCGTTTCCATGCATGCGTAATTGAAGGAAATTACAAATTTCCATCTTATTTTGATACGACATGCCATTTTAACTAACTAATTACCTCCTTAAAAATTATTATTATTATTAATTCTTTTTGGTTTCACATAGTTTTTCTTGTTTATTATGTGTACGAAAACCTAAATTTAAGATCTGAACTTAAGTAGTAGGAGATTCTCATGTAGAATCATCTTAGTGATGATGCATATTATAAGGGAAAAAAGAATTTTAGCTTATCCTGTTCTTGTTTTATACCCAAATCTCAAAACTGAATTTCGGCCTAAATAAAGTGAAGTTTCTTTTCTTTCGTCTTTTTTGTAATTTCCAATTAATTATGCACATGAACGGACAGGATTGTTTTTGGACAATGATCGGTCGGTTTAACCAGTTAAATTAGTTACGCATGATTAATGTCATAGAAAGTCAACGGTTAATGTGGTGGTAATCAAATATTCTGAGATCTTCCCATCTAGTAATTTTCTCTCTTCGAATGTGAGTGAATCTTCATCTCCCTATTCAATCACATGGAATTATTCAGCATTTTTCTTGGCATTCAATCAGATCACTTATATCCATATAAGATGCTTGTAGAAATTTCAGAATAAAAATTATTTAATTATTGACTTTCGGAATCACAAGAGTTAAGATATTAATTTGTTACGCACTGATCATATTCTGTGGGCCACGATTCATATTTCTTAGTTTTAGTATTTCGTATCGCGGGATAATTGTCTTAATTATTAGTGGCAAAGATTCTGGATATTTCCCTATTTTTATTCTTTATTTTTGGTTTAGAAGTTCTGTCGATAGGTATGCCTTTACAGGATTATTACATAATATTTGATTCTGATATATTTATATTGTATTTTGGGAATTAACAGTGGAGATTTGAAAAATTAATTCTAAATCATTTATATTCCTTGGATGAGAAAAAGAATGGAGAAAGCTACATATGTACATGAAAAATAGTTTCTTCAGTGCCAAGTATAACTTTTGATCATATCTCTTCCAGAATTTTCTTTGTACTTGCATATATCCTTGGGCTTATAAAATTTGGGCCTTAGATTTGCAGGTAATTGTTCTGTCAAATTCAGGGGTCAAATTGGAAAATACGAAAGCTGTGGGTAGGAAGTTAAATAGTCCTTTACGCAATTAAGCTACATTTTAGGAGCAGTTGTGTAATAAGTGTAAAGAATCGCGATTGAGTTAGTTGCGCCGCCTCTGTTCTGTTTTCGGTGTAGATTCGGTTAATAAATGCCAAATCATTATGATGTATGACAAGTTTTTTGGATGTTACCTGAATCATTAATTCAGAAATTCTCTCTCTACCCCAATTTCTTCTCTCCTTGTCCAATTGTTCTTCTCTTCTTCACCTCCATTTCCAATTCGATTGATTTTCCGATCACCGGAGAATTATGAATCTTCCTTCCGGTCCTCGGTAGCTAACATGTTGGTATCAGAGCTGAGCAATCCTCGACTTTGACTATCGACTCCCGCCATGACACAAACACGAACACAGAAAGACGCTGATGAATCGGTCAAGAAAACGGAGCAGAAACTGTCAAACATTCAAGTTCGTCTTAATCATACAGATTCCGTCTTGGAAGCTTTACAAGACCAAATGAAGATTTTGATCGCTCTCAATACTCCGAAGGCAGGGATTCTTGGTCCTGGGGAGAAGGAAGATCAACCTTTGACCGTGGACACTCCGACGATTGAGAATGCAGCTCCGGCAGCAGTTCCTATTCAACCAGAAGCAGCTAAGGAAAAGCTTGTCAGACATTCCTTGCACTCATACCCTAGAATTGAGTTGCCGGTGTTTACTGGTACAAACACTTGGGAATGGTTGCGAAAATGTGATGAGTACTTTTTGCTTCACCAAATTCTTGATGATCAGAAGGTTGATTACATGGAATTATATCTTGAGGAAGAGGCTGATTCTTGGTACCAGTCCACGAGGTTGATGTCACCACAGATTTCTTGGAAGGAGTTTTGTCAAGAGTTGATAGCTTGCTTTGCTGACATTTCTGAGGTTAATCCAGTGGAAGAATTCAATAAGCTTTCACAAAGAGGCACCGTATAGGAGTACCATGCCAAGTTTGAAGCTCTTAAGGTCAGAATGCTTATGCAAGATGTCAAACTTTTAGAAAACTACTTCTACACAGTTTTTTAAGTGGCCTAAAAGAGGAAATCAGGACTGGTGTGCGTATGTTTGAGCCAACCACATTGGTCACTGCTTTCAAATTGGCCAGATTACAGGAGCCGAACCTGGAATCTTGCTTAAGAAGCAAAGAACAGCTGTAATTCAGGTAACTAAGCCTCCTTATAAACATAATCGAACTCCTGGTATACCTAGAACTACTGATAATTCCAATAGACCAATAAATTCTGATTTTGTGAAGAAGTTAAAACCTGAGGAATATCAGTACAGAGTTAACAACCACTTGTGTTTCAAATGTGGTGAAAAGTTTGGTCTTGGTCATATCCGTAAGTACAAGAATTTCAACATTATGATCATGGATAATAAAGAAAAGATGATAAAAGAAATGAATTAGATGCTCCTGAATTATTGGTTGATGATGGAATTGATTTGAATGATCTAACCATTGAAGATGGATCAATGCATGTATTGTCTGTGGATACTGTCAAGCAAACCATAGTGTTGGCGGGGCAGATTAATGGCACAAATATAAGAATTTTGATTGATACAGGCAGTACAGACAGTTTTGTGGATTTACATGTGGTTAAGGACTTTAAATTCCTTTTGTGGAGTCCAAGTTGTTTATTGTTACAGTAGGCAATGGGAGCAAGGTATCAAGGAACTTGATTTGTCCTAACTTGCATTGGAATATTCAGCAATACAAGTTCAGTTATAATTTGAAAATGATGAAGCTTGGTAGTTATGATATGATACTGGGAATAGACTAGATGAGGCATTTTAGTCCTATTACTTTTTACTTTGATGAAATGCATGTGAGGTTGAGCAGATATGGGAGGCAATATATCTTGCAAGGAACTGGAAGTGTGGCTAGTATGGGGTTGATCAGAGACAGGGATCGTCATGAATTTACCCAAGAGAGAAGGGGAAAACTGATGGCCTTACATGTTGAAAATGAATCTCACTTGGAAACCGAAACACATATGGCGGAAATACCTTTGCCTGAATCAATCAGCAAGTTGTTGGACAAGTATGATCAGGTGTTTGAGACTCCTGACATTACCTCCCAGCAGACCTGTTGATCATCATATCATCCTTAAGCCTGGAGCTCAGCCATTCAAGATTCCACCCTATAGATACCCACATGCCCACGAAGCTGAGATAGAGCAACAAGTATCAGAATTGTTGAAGCAAGGGATTGCTCAAGCAAGCAAGAGTCAATTTGCATCTCTTGTTATCTTGGTTAAGAAAAAAGATGGGAGTTGGAGAATGTGTGTGGATTATAGGAGATTGAATGACATAACTATTAAGGACAAGTTTCCAATCCCAATCATTGAAGAGCTGTTGGATGAATTGAATGGTGCCACTGTGTTTTCCAAGCTGGATTTGAGATCTGGTTATTATTAGATATTGGTGAATAAAGATGACATCCACAAGACAGCATTCCAGACACATAATGTTTATTATGAATTCCTAGTCATGCCTTTTGGCTTAACCAATGCCCCTGCAACTTTCCAGTCACTAATGAACCAGGTGTTCCAACAGCAATTGAGGAAGTTTGTTCTTGTTTTCTTTGATGACATCTTGGTATACAGTCCATCTATGGAGGAGCATCTAGTTCACTTGGAGGAAGTTCTCAGAATTCTCCAAAAAAATTAGTTATATGCTAAGAAGAGCAAATGCACATTTGCACAACCCACAGTGGAGTACTTGGGGCATACCATTTCAGCAAAAGGAGTGAGTATGGATGTACAAAAGATGGAATGCATCACTAAGTGGCCAGTTCCTGTTTCAGTCAAGGCTTTGAGGGGATTTCTAGGCCTAACTGGATACTATATAAGGTTCATTAAAGGGTATGGAATCATCTACAAGCCACTTACTAATTTGTTGAGGAAAAATGCTTTCAGTTGGAATGAAGAGAGTCAACTAGCTTTTCAAAAGCTCAAGGAATGCATGAGTTTAGCTCTAGTTCTGAGGTTGCCAGACTTCACTAAGCCGTTTGTGGTGGAAACTGATGCAAGTGACTTGGGTATGGGAGCAGTTTTTATACAGGAAGGACAACCCATTGCTTTCATTAGCAACACATTTAGCCAACAAAGCAAGGGTTTTTCTGTTTATGAGAAAGAGTTGATGGCTGTGGTTTTAGCAGTAACCAAATGGAGACATTACTTGTTGGGAAACCATTTTATTATCAAAACAGATCATCAGTCACTGGAATTTTTCTTGGAACAGAAAGTGATCAACAGGCAGCATAAGTGGTTGACTAAATTGTTGGGATATGACTATGTGATTCAATACAAGAAAGAGACTGCGAACAATGCTGCTGATGCATTATCCATAAGGGAGAAACTATGTTTGACTGTTAATGACCAAGATGTGGGTACTGAAGGTCAGTTGTTTGCCATTTCTTCCTTGTAACCTATGTGGATGCAACAAATCATTAATAGTTATGATCAGGAAGCTGTGGTCAAAGTCTCAAAGACATCATTGCTGGCATTTCCTTGTCTCCTAATTTTGATCAGCAGTTTCAATATGTGCAAGGCATCTTGAGGAAGAAAGGAAGGGTTTATGTGGGGAATCAAGTAGAACTGAAGAGAAGTTTGATTGAAGCTTTCCATTCTTCACCTTTGGGTGGCCATTCTGGACAGGTGGTGACTCTACAACGTTTGAAATCCATTTTCTATTAGCCAAACATAAAAAAGGAAGTGAAGCAGTTCATCCAGGAGTGTGTTGATTGCCAGAGGAATAAGAGTGAGAATGTTCCATATCCAGGTTCATTGAAACCAAATCCTATTCCACAGCATGCATGGAGAAGCATTTCTATGAATTTTATTGTGAAGTTGCCAATATCCAACAACTATGATTCTATACTGGTGGTGGTTGACAGGCTAACAAAGTATGGACATTTCATTCCATTGGGAACACCATTGAATGCTGTTAAGGTTGCAGAGGTTTTTCTCAGAGAAATCTTCAAGCTGCATGGAATCCCTGATGACATCATAACTGATAGAGATCCTATGTTTCTCAGTCACTTTTGGCAGGAACTATTCAGTTTGTTGAGAACCAAGCTCAAGTTCAGCACTGCCTACCATGCACAGACTGATGGACAGACTGAAAGAGTTAATCAGTGCTTAGAAAACTACTTAAGGTGTTTCTGTTGTGATAAGCCAGCTACTTGGAGTCAATGGATCACCTTAGCTGAGTGGTGGCATAACTCTTCTCATCATTCCAGTATTAAGATGACTCCCTATGAAGCTTTATATGGTGAGAAACCAAATCCCTGTCCTCTTGGTCCTTTTACTGATAGCATTATTCCTACTGTTGCAAAAGAGGTCCAGCAAAGAGCCAATATTATCAGTTTGTTAAAGGACAATATGAAGAAGGCACAAGAAAGAATGAAGTAATTTGCTGATCAGCACAGAACAGAAAGGAGCTTTGTGGTAGGAGATTGGGTGTACCTTAAACTACAGCCTTATAAACAGACAACTGTGGCAGTGAAAATTTTCCTGAAACTGATGTCCAGGTATTATGGACCTTAAGAGATCATTGCCAAGGTAGGTGAAGTGGCTTACCAGTTGAAAATGCCTCCTCAAGTGCGTATATATCCAGTGTTTCATGTCTCACAGCTTAAGAAACACCATGGCAACCATGCAATATCTAATTCACCTCCTAATTTCACCTTGGTTGAGGAGAGCACTTTGCAACCAGAATGCATCATTCAGAGGAGATTTGTGATCAGAAATGGGAAACAGGTGGTGCAATGGCTGATGAAATGGAGAGGGTTGGAAGTGGTTGATGCATCATGGGAGGATCAAGGATTTATCACCAAGCAATTCCCTGGTTTCAAACCTTTAGGACAAGGTTGTTGTTAAGGAGGGGGGGATTGTCACATTCAGGGGTCAAATTGGAAAATAATACAAAAGCTGTGGGTAGGAAGTTAAATAGTCATTTACAATTAAGCTACGTTTTAGGGTCAGTTGTGTAATAAATGTAAAGAATGGCAGTTAAGTTAGTTGTGCCGCCTCTGTTCTGTTTTTGGTGTAGATTCGGTTAATAAATGCCGAATCATTATGATGTAATGAGGAATTTTTTGGATATTACCTGAATCATTAATTCAGAAATTCTTTCTCTACCCCAATTTCTTCTCTCCTTGCCCATTGTTCTTCTCTTCTTCACCTCCATTTCCAATTCGATTGATTTTCCGATCACCGAAGAATTACGAATCTTCCTTTCGGTCCCCGGTAGCTAACATGTTCCCTGGTCATTGGACTTTATTATGACTCTTTATCAGTTTAGCCTCAAAGCCTCATTCTGATCAAAACTAAACAAGAATGGGAACATTCGTAAATTACATCATTATTTCTTGCTCAGAACGGAAAAAAAAAAAATAGTTCATGTTAAGTTTCTTAAATTTATACTGTTTTAGTACAAATTTTCAAATTTAATATGGACTATTTTTAGAACAGAGGGAGTATTATAATAAAATATTGATAAAAACTTATAGAAGATAATTACGAATTGGGATATGGAAAAAGTTAAGAAAAACATATAAAGTTTCATTAAACTTTCAATTTTTATGTAATTATTTTAATACTAAGACTTATCTATCTATATCTATAATCTATAGTATTATACTAAGAGAGAAACCAGAGAGAGAAAACAAAAAAGAATTCTAAAGGTGCCACACAGGATAAAATCCTATGTGTCATTTTTCTAATGGTTGAGTCAAAAAATATTTACAACAATTATACTAATAGTCCTTCAAATTTTATGTAAATAAAGTTTTATCAAATAGCATTTAAAACTATAGTTTAAAATAGGAAAATAAAAATTAATTAAATTTAATGGACGGGATTAATGAACATTAATGCACCAGAATTATTCCCTCCCAAAAATAATCCTCAATTAGTATTAATTGATTGATTTAAATTATAAGTTCAAAGGGATAAGGCATTTGTTATTTTTAACATTAATTGACCAGGATTTTTTACCCCAACCAATTTGAATAAAAAAAAATCCCTCTACAAAATAATCCCTAAAATCACTACTTGATTGATTTAAAACCTAAGTTCAAGGTGCGGGAAAGTGGGAATTCTTTAGTGATTAAAAATTAATCAAATTTAATTGAAAAAGACTAATCAACATTAATGCAATGGAAGTCATTTCCCCACCAATCTTATCCCTTAATCAATGTGACGTTATCATCTTTATTCCATAGTTATGAATTTTATTTTAGTTACTGGTTATGATATCTCATTCAGACATTCACTATAAAAATCCACTCCGGTCTAACTCTAACATGTACAATGACAACTGGTGAAACATCGAAGCAAAGCATCTTATATACTTTTACAAAACATCTTTGCGGCGACGACCTCACTCCGATCATGTTTTATT